AGAAAGGTGTATTTTTATATTATATAATTCTAAATGTAAGGAAATTGGTTCATTGAGATTATTATATGAAGATACTAAGAGCGGTTTTTTTTTTTTTTTTTTTTTTTTTTTTTTTTTTTTTTTTACTGTGATTGGCCACTATTCTGGTACTTTCAAATAATATTAAAAAAGCCTTTTATTTTTTCCTCTTATTAATAATCTTCTATTTTCATGAGTGAAGTGAATTTAGTATCTAGACTTGGTTATAATGGGTTGATGATGGGGTTGAAGTTTCTTCAAGCGAGGAGTTTTAGGATTTTAGTCTAGTTGCAGGTTGCATTTGTATTTTACGAAGTGAAGGCATTGAGATGTTACCTTACTATGATTTATTTTACAGGGGATGCAAGTTTCAGTGTTGTTGCAATCCATGCCAGCGTTCATCTCCCGTATGATCATCGTTTGCTTGTTCAGAACCTTACTGCACAGGTATATAAGGCTCTTTAATTTTCATGTAGACTTGGATACATGACCACCAGAATAGTGAACTTGTTATTTAAATTATATGATTATGCCTTTTTTCATCTAGGCCATACTTGCTCCATTAGTATATCATATCCATATATATCGGATATTGGAACAGTTAGATTGTTGAAGTAACCAATAGGCCTGTTATTGGTTGGTGACCAAGTATACTTTTGTAAGTCATATGTGATATTTTGAAAGCCAATCAGATTGATTTTTCTGTTATCTGAGTTTGGAAGAATTATTTGTTACACTTGGTACTGGTCGTCTGGTATTGTCCTCTATGCTATAATCTAGGAGCCAACTAATTTAGCTTGTGAAAATTTGGTGCATGATCCATGCTGTGATGAGGTTTTTTCAATTTAACTTTTTTTGTCGTGCTATTGCCTATTGTCTTGTTTTTAAAACTATATTTAACACTTTGTACAATCTATAGGCTACATCACTGTTGACCACCAATTACTTCATGTTGTCTATTTGTTTTTTTTTTTTTTCTTCTTGGTGTTTATTATTTTGCTATTTGTGTGTTGGGAAAGAGGAATGGACATGTAGCCCATGTGTGGGGTTGCAGGTACCCAACTACCAAGGCTTAGGATGTGATGTTTTTTGGGTTAAAAAATAAAATAAAATAAATTGTTACTTGTGCTGCTTTCGTGTTTGTTTCATATAGTTTGAGACTGTGCTTGGTAGGTTTGTTCATTTTAGTGAAGCTTGTGAAGGTTGGCTAACTGATGTAAACGATAAACCTGTCCGGTTGTGATACGCTGTCTGCATTTATTTCACTGGTTCATCTGCATTTTATTTTGTCCTGTATCTGGCGTATATTATTTTAGAGCTGTTCATCTTCGGTTTCTCTAATTTGCTTTCAATTTGGCTTAATGGTTTCTTTTTCAATATAGGTATTCAACAATGCCTCAGTTCCTTCATCAGCTCAAGCCACTTTCCCCTATGTATTTGCTGTCAGCAAATACTTGCAGGTACCTGATATAATTCTGATTGTCTAGTTCAGACTTTATTCCATTAATGGCTGTTGCTTGTAAATGGCTAAACGCTACTTGATAAAAATAAATCATTTATCTGCTTGTAAAATTAACGGCAAGACTTTTTCATTGCAGCCTGGATCATTTGATCTTGTAGGATCTATCGTTTATGAGATTGACAAAACTCCGTATCAGAGCACTTTCTTCAATGGCACCATTGAAGTTACTGAGGCCAGTGGCCCCTTGACCATTGAGACTGTTTTCCTGGTTATGCTTGCTTTTTCCCTTGTTGCTGCCCTTGGTTTGTGGATACGTGGTCAATTACAACGCTTCTCAAAGGTAAATTCTTTCTCCATGTTTGTAGTCTTTTGTGCAATTTTTATTTTCTTGATTTTGTATGTCCACCTTTTTTTTTTTTTTAAGTCTTTTTTTCAAACACTCGTATATGTTCTTGCACATAAGTAGTGTGCTTTTCTGAGGGATCTTGAGGTCCAAATTGCTAATGTTGATTGTTTTGGGGGGTATTAGGTCCAAATTGCTCATGTTGATATCCTAGGATAAATATTTAATGCTGGATGGAGGTTATGAACTTGCTTTGTATTTTTGTATTTTCTTTCAACCATTGGTATGATTAATTACATGTCAAACTTGAGTTCCATTATAGTACATGTTATCATCTTCAGCAGGTAGTTGATTCTGTTGTCAAAACGGAGATGTGTGCTAGTATAGTTGTATGGTCAGTGTTTGTAATGTTTACTTATGATATTTAGTTACATCTGTCTCAGAAATCTAAGAAAGCACCTAAGGTGGAAGTTGGAACTCGATCAACTGATGCATCATTGGATGAATGGCTGCAGGTATGTTGGTTCTAATCTTAATTAAAAATCTTAGTAGCTTCTCTATGAATGATTGCTAATATCCAGTCTTTCGTGGTTAATGCAGGGTACCGCATACACCCAGGCCAACAAATTGAAGAAGAAATAGATTGGTCTTCTGCGGTACAAAAAACTGTTGTCTATTTATAGGCTCATGTAACTCAGAACTCGGCATTTGATTTTGTTAGAGCGGAAGAGACTACTTTTTTTAGTTTAGAATGTGCAAGGGAATTTTGATGGGAGTTTAGTCTACAATGATATTTGCTTTAGCTCACCCGTCAGTTACTTGTCATACAAACTATACAGTTTCGTAACAGGATTTTTTTTTTGTAAGCATGTAGATCTTCACAAATTAGTTACAATTATCCACTTCTCGTCAATATTTAGTGCTGTGATGTTCCATTATATTTCAAGCTCCCTTCTCAGTATTCTTAGCTGCATTGGTTCTGAACTTCTGACTCCTTGTGTTTTAACTGAGCTTTTGCTTGATGTTGTTTTCTATATAGCTCACGTTCATTTTCAGGATCAGTATTGATTTGACTTATCTTTCTACTACCTCCGTTACGGGTTGTGTAACGATTTGACATAAAGCAGAGAGGAAAAATGTCTAATCGTTGCACAGAGGTAGTATTTGAATATTTGATCGAAGCTTACCTATCATCTCACTGACTAATCTTGTGACTTCAGTGTCTCATTTTCTAAGTTTCTTTAATCATGCAGTTCTTTTCGATTTTTGAATCCAATTGCTTGTTTTTCTTAAATTTAGATTTGTGTTGTTTCTGACTTCGTACCATAGTAACCATACTATCACTTTGAGTACGAGTCAATTGTGGACGAAGGGAGTAATATTGTCGAGAAAAGTTCACTGTTGCTTGAAGTAGTATCGTTTGAAACTTTATGTTGCAGGCTGTCGTATAAGGTATAAGCTATCTTACCTCAGGTATAAGCTATCTTACCTCTAAGCTGCACTAAACCAAATCATATTCGTATCCAATAATTAAACATTTTAGATGAATTGAGCAGTACACTTTTTCTTTAAATGTGTGAATTAATTATGGACAATACAGTGCTTTAGCTCTACTTATAGAGTAATTGCAGCCAGAATTAACACTTTGTCAGTAAATGCCATTCTTTTATGAAGTGATTCTTTAGCAATTTGATCGAAAAGGAGGGTCCATGAAAAAATTCACAATGAATAATAATTACTTCATATTATTATTATTATTTAATGATATGATATCCTTTACTATAATTGTGGTGTTATTTCTATAATGTCAAATTTAAGTCGATCATAATTTTTGGATGGTGGTATACTGGTACTTAAATGGGCGAAAGGTAAGCAGGGATGATATTGAATTAAGTCACACTTAATTTCCTTGCTTGATGACGCCCTTCAGCTCACCTAATAACCATAATTTATAATCTATCTACTTTATATACACGAATTTAATTATGGTTTGAGGCTGTAACTAACAACTCAATTTCTGAAATTCTGTACACACTATATGGTATTAGCTTAGTTGGAAATTACAATTTAGTTCACAAAATTTTAGTTAATGTCCTTTAGAAGAAAATATCTGCCATGCCTTTCCTTCTAGATTTGTGGTCATTACCTTTTGAATTGGTTTCCTGAGAGTAACCTTTGATTAGGACTTGCTATGCGCCTTTTACGGTCTAGCACTAATAGTAAAACCGAAAAAGAAAGTTAGGTTGTTCTGCCTTGTGTGTTATATATGCTTGCACACACCTTACTCTAATGATGTGGAGGATGTCAACTACCTTAGTTGGTTAAAGTCTTGGGGGTGACACCAAGATTTGGATCATATCCCGTCTACGTCATTACTCACTACCCCTTTGTAACTTACCTCGTTATATATGATCACACATATCTTACCCTAAAGATGTGGATGGCAACTAGCTTAGTTAATCTTGGGGGTGGTACCAAGACTTGAGATTAAATCCCGTCTACATCACTGTCCCTTTGTAGCTTACTTAATATTTTATTGTCGACAGTAGGCAGAAATCTTGTTTGCTGCCACATTATATTGTACAATGTGCTTCTTCTGTAATAAGCATGTTGATCCAGACCAGAAATATTAAGAGATACAGTACATCTTGCATTCAAAATATTACCAATATTAACTCTAAGAAATTAAATATCACTTCATAGGACACTCACTAAATGCATCTGATCAGTACTTCTGCTATGCCATGGATATCCTCGGACCACGGACTATTGAGTCCGTACCCAAAGGATGATACATGGATAGGCGTTATAAGAATTTTCCTGACCAAATAATATAGGCGCATTTGGGAAAATTTGATTATATGTGGATCCACATTCATCAACTCTGCTAAAAGCCAAATTGAAGATTTTTTGTGTAGAAATGACCATAGCATTGATGAGTACACATAATTAGGTGTGCAAAAACTAGTTAACCCAACCACAACTCTTTGGACATGTGCTGTGATAGATCATAACTCATTCAATAGTGAAGAAGACCTCTTTTGCTATCGATCTACTTAAACGGCGATTATGTGCCTTAATTTGCAAGCTATTTAGGGGGACCCTGAAGAACATGTGAGTATGTGACTCCTTTAAGAGAGTTGGTTGTATAATCTTACATCCATCCATATATAATAACTCCCGAGGCCTATCATTTTTATTCAAGTTGTATGCCAAGATCTTCTGGCAGGGTTATCAGCACTTAATCCTGCATTGTTTGCCTGCTTATCAGACCAGTCTAGCTGTTCTGTGAGCGCGTGTAAAGTTAGGGGATCCCAATGAGGATATCAATCCCGGTCATTTTGACCCTATTGTTTGCCACAAGCTTCTGTTATGGCGCTCAAAAGACTGTAGAGGTCATTGGAGTTAGTGAATGTGCTGACTGTCAGCAGAACAATATCAAGCACAGCCATGCTTTTGAAGGTATAAAGTAATCGCGCTGTCTTCGTATGTACTTTCAGCTTCTATTATCTCTGTTACTAACATGATCATGGTTTACATATGCAGGACTTAAAGTTACAATTGACTGCAAGCTTGCGAATGGGTATATGAAAAGAAGAGCAGAAGGGAAGCTCGATAAAGAAGGGAACTTTAAGGTAGATCTTCCACATGACATTGTGGAGGATGGAAAGAAGTTGAAGGAAGAATGTTATGCACAACTTCATGGTGCATCAGGCATACCATGCTCGGCTCATAATGGGATCGAGTCTTCGAAACTAACCTTTGTTTCTGAATCTGATGGAAAACACACATTTAGCCCAGTTGGAAAACTAAAATTCTCACCAGAAACTTGCACATCTGCCTTCTTGTGGCCTCACTTTAAGTATCCACCTTTGCATAAGAAGTCCTTCCCTAAGTTGCCATTCACTTTCCCTAAGATCTCTTGCCCTCCGTTTTTCAAGAAACCGTTTTTCAAGAAACATTTCTTCAAGAAGCCAATTATCTCTATTCCAAAGTACAAGAAATCTTTCCCACATGTCCCTATATACAAGAAGCCATGCCCACCACCCGTGCCAGTATACAAAAAGCCTCACCCAACACCCGTGCCAGTGTACAAGAAGCCACTCCCACCACCCGTGCCAGTATACAAGAAGCCACTCCCACCACCCGTGCCAGTATATGAGAAGCCACTCCCACCACCCGTGCCAGTGTACAAGAAGCCACTCCCACCACCCGTGCCAGTATACAAGAAGCCATGCCCACCACCTGTGCCAGTATACAAGAAGCCACTCCCACCACCCGTGCCTGTATACAAGAAGCCACTCCCACCACCAGTGCCAATATACAAGCCACCTGTATTCAAGAAGCCGCCTGTTATCCCAGTATATAAGCCAAAGCCTCTTCCTCCTATTACCTTCCCCCCTAAGAAGCCATGTCCTCCTATTAGTATTCCTAAGCTCCCTCCATTTAAGTTCCCAGACCACCCCAAATTTCCTCCAAAGGTTTTTGAACATCCCAAGTACAAAAAGTGGCCTTCTTTCCCACCATTCACTCCTCATCCTTGATCAAAGAGACCATTTGCTTTATTTGTAGCGCCGTGATTTATTTCATTTCATTACAGGATCATATTCTTATTGATGCAGTAATATTTATAGTGTGTTCTTCATTCTGCATCGATGCAAGAAGGAGCGTGCTGGTTCAGTTTACTCTCCAAAAGATGCAGGCAGCAGCAGGCAGTTTCACCCTGAAGTACTAGAGTGTTTATAAGTCATCATTGTTTTTATTACTGTTTCTTATTTACTTGTACAATGTTCTTGCTACACCATATCTTTTGTAATATCTATTTTGCCAATAAGATTGGTGACATTATTTGTTGAATTTGTTATCATATCTCTATAATTAAGCAAATGATTGTTGAGAAATGGTTCTATGAATTTCAGAAAGAGATCTTAAAAGAGAATGTTGTTTAATTGGATATGCTATTTAATGTACACTATTTAACAGGAAATCAGGATTATAGGACAGTGTGACATTAATATCGAATTTTAGAGCCTAATAAGTAATAACCTATCTACTCAATCAGACTTCATCAGAGGATGCCCTTTTGATATACTGCTCATTTCGAATATCCTTGTTGGGTCGTGGCATCTACACTTGGACATGAGTACATGACTCACATGAGTATGGAGTACTTGATTTTTAGTTTTTGATATTTTGGAGTTAAAAACGGACTTTTTCCGTAAGATAATGAGTTTATGCATACATGGCTACCCAAGCTCAAGTAACGCGTACAAGAGCAGCAGCTCTTAAGAAAATTGCAGATGAAACTGAATTATCAAATTCACTAAGGCTTGCTGTGAAGGATAGAGTGACAATTCTGACAGATGAAAGATGACTTCAAAGACTAGTGTGGCTGCATGTTTTGCCAAACTTGTACAAAGCAGCAAAGCTTATTGAATATACCATGTTATATCACAGGTTCAATGTCCTATTTTCCTTGCTACAAAAGAGTCAAGTCAGTAAACCAAATTGAGTGTAGCAATTAAATTAAATACTTGCTTAAATTTCGGCTGTGAAAGCTGATGTCTTATAAGTGGTCTTACACATAAGATTTCCCAAACAAAATGTTTAAGATGAATTAAGAGTGGTTTTATAAAGTCCATATTCTCATACCATTAGGATTTTATACCTACATATATTTGTGAATTGTGAATGAAACTTCTCAAACTAGGGATTGAAAAATTACACAATTATACAAAAACTATATTAGACAACACTTCAAGTTGTTTAAAAACCCCATATTTCACAGTTTACAGTTTTACACTCATTTCTATTTGGTTAACTTAGCCTAATCTAGATTTTCATAAATCATACTTTTTTCTATTAATGGAATTTATGTTTGTATTGTGCTATTTTTGATTATGTAAAATACATGAAGTTCATACAAAGTAATTGGTTTAATAGGAATTTTTCTTTGATACAGAGTACTACCTCCGTTAACTTTTATTTATAACTTTGAAATATTTTATATCTCACAAATAATATCCTAAAATTGCAATAAGTTAACTTAGGTAATTTTTTTTGGCGTTGGAAAAAACAACAAAATGATACGAAGAAATTTGATTTGAAGACTCAAAGTCTCGAGTAAGTAAATTGTAAATTTTTTAACCAATTACGGAGTAATTTAGTTGACATTCTTAGACACTCGAGGAAAAAAAAAAAACAGTTTTGACATTGGGCTCATACGATCAAGTCTTCCCTTCTTCAGTTCTACTCTTCTCTTTCTTTCTCTCTCTCCACTTTAAGCATCAAAAGCGCGGGCTCTAAAAACACAGAACCAGAAAAACCTCTGAGCCCTAACTTCACAGCTTCTTCTCACTCTCTCCAATGGCGGCCTCCTCCATCGCCGCAACCTCAACCAACTCTCTCGATTCTTCTCTTTGGTTCGACTCCTTCTCTCTCCTCCTCACTGACCTCGAGAATCTCTCTCCTTCTTCCTCCGACCTCCCTCCTTCTCTGGTACTTCTTCTCTCCTCTTTCACATTTTCTCAAATTCTTCGAATTTCGTGCCCTAACAATGCTTGATTTTCATTTTTCATCTGTAGATTGAGAAGTTGAAGCAGAATCATGCTTGGTTCTTGAATACCGTTACTCAGTTTAAACCTCCGAGTGAAGCGTCGAAGTCGGCGTTGAATTCTGAGCAAGTTAGTGTTGGTTCGCATAAATTGAGTATTAAACCTCAATTTAAGGAATTGGCGTTGAAGCTCAGCTCCACTGTGGTATGCTTTTTCGAATTTTTATTTTCAAATTAATTTCTTGTTTTTGTTTTGTTTCAATGCTGCTGCTAATTTGAATTTGTTGTTTTATTCTTTTAATTGATTTTCTTGAATTGCTAATTTGCTTCCTTACAAGAAATTATTTTCATGATTTTTCGCGGTTATGTTATGGATACTAAGGGTTTCTGTAGTTTGCTAGATTAGTTGATGCTTCTTTAATGATGGTGGCATCAAATTACTAGAAGTACATTTATCTGCATTTCGGTAACGTGTTTATTGAAAATTTATAGGTGTGATGATTCATAAGGCATTGTAATCTTGATCGTTGATGTTAATTATATTTGACATTTCTATCTTGAACAACTATAGAAGAGGTGTTTGATCCCTAGGCTTGACATTTTAAAAATTATAGTTCCTGATTTCATTTTAATCTGTCTGAAACTAATTGATATTTCTTTGTCCGGAAATGATAGTTACATATTAGATGCTTGGAAAAAAAGATCACATTTTCTATATGACAATTGGTCATGCTTTGATTTTGCATAATGCATAATTCTCCATTTGGAATGTTGGAGGGACAAGTCACACAGCCGCTACAAAAGTTGTTTTGTTAAATTCACATTATCTCCTTACATAAGATGAGTAAGGAGTCCAAAGACCATATGCCAATTTTTTCCGAGCAAAGATAGAGTAATTGTTAGGAAAACAACCCTCATGTGAGTTGGGACTTGTTGTCCCACATGGAAAGTGTAGGAGGAGAATGACTAAGAGCTACTCCACCTATCACCAATTGGTTTTAGGACTGCACCTTACTAGGATTATATGTTGTCAAAATCTCCGTTTGACATGGGGATGGTGCAAGGCCTACTTATGATTATCTCATGTTTGAGCCCGTCATTTATTAATAAGTAAGGATTTGACGTAATTTAAAACTCTTTGTTATATCGTGTTCTTTTACTTAAGTTAGGCCTTGTTTTGCTCACTTCATTCAAATAATATATTGTAAAAGAAATTAAAGTTGTGCAAAATTAATTCCAATTTAGCAAAAATAAATCTTCATCAGTAAGAAAATTAGTTATTTTAATGAACATTAATATAGAGAATCTGTAAAAATAAGTTTTGTTCGGTAAAATAATTTAGGATAAGTAGAAATAAATTAAGTTCAACTAAAATAATTTCAGTTTAGAAAAATTAAGGTGAAGAAAATAGGGCCTTAGAGTGGCATATTGGGAAATTATGTCATTATTCACCAATCAAAAACTGTTACTAATTTTGGAAAGGTGACAAGTTCAATTGAAGTGTATATAGTGACCGTTCGCTCTAGATGAAGGCAAAAGCTTAAGGAATAATTCTTCTTTGTTTTGCGTTACTTCCATTTATACATCTTCTGCTTTTATTTGTGTAGGTCTGCAGTGGATTCCTACTTGCAAGTCTTAAATTTTACAGTTATCAACTGTTTCTGTTACATGCAGTGGCTTTCCTGGTTTTTTTGTTCTGTCAACTGGATTAGTACTCAGAGATGATAGTAGGGTTTTTCATGCTAAATGCATCTGCTGAAATATATATATTTTAATCAAGGTATGAGTAATAATCAAACACTTTTTATATTGTGCAGTGCTTAGATGAGATACAGTCGTATATTCTTGTCGAAAGGTCGATGGATCAGAAAAGTGATTTTGTTGATGGTGCCATACAAGGTTTTCTTCATGAGGTCTGTAGTTTTCCTACCTAATGTATTAAAATAATATGTTGATGCCTCTTTTTTTATTTATAACTTTGTTGGTGAATACTTGGTGCACTTAGAATATGGATTATGGACTCTAGTGTAGCCTGCTGATGAAGATATGTTATGAGTTATGTGACAAACCCTCCTACACATGGGCTATACCCCTTGTGTGTTTTAGCAATGTTCATTGTTACTTGAGCCAAATAAATAAAGAAAAATCATGACAATATATTAGAGGCTTTCACCTCTTATGTCTTATTGAGTGTTGGTAGAAATAATGTGTTTCATTACCCTAGCTGTGAGGGGTTCTACGCAACTCTTACCTCCTAGATAATATAGAATGCAACACTATATTTATTATTTATTTGTCAACAGATTGTTTTATCAACTGGTTGTTTCACCTACCTTTGATTAATATTATTATATCTTGTTTTATGGTTGTGCACTTCTTCGTGTTTATGTAATTATCAATGAAGTCGTGCCTAACAATTACAGTTATAGTAAAGCAGGATCATATCAGCTGACTACTTTGTCTTATTGTTGTCTCTTTTGAAGATAGTGCTGCAATATTATACTCAAAGGCAATGCTTACTTAAATGTGCTCGCCAAATGATTATTCACGGATGTGAGTTTACATATTCTTGCTACCTTTGTGCTTAAATACTATTTTATTTACTTCTCTTGTCCCAATTTAGTGTTTCACTTATCAGGGCAGTTAGTGAATGAAATTAATGTTGGAGTTTGATCATCAACTGTTTAGTGGTGTCAAAGATTAAGGTGTATTTTTTAAATTGGTTGAGACTCCTTCTGAAGATATTTATTACTTCTCTCTTAGCGGTGGAAAGAAAGAAGTAACAAAAATAAGAGGGAGTACAATTAATCATTAATTGTGTATTCACCTCTCACTCTTCTCGATTTGGTATCCTTCCTTAATATCCTTAACAATGTCTTTATATCTGCCTCATTTGTTCTGTAGCTTTTTTGTTCATCTCATCAACATTTGTATATGTAATCCACGAATAACTTCAATGTGGTTAATATTGATTTCTGAATCATGTTTCAGTAAATGTTGGATCATCTGTTGAAGAAGAAAAAGCCATTTGGCATGAGGTTTCCAAGCTCATTTCTGATGGTCTAGAGAGCAAGTTGATATCTATTCTGGATGGACAACTATCATCATCTTTTCCTCAACAAATGGTATGTCGTTGCATGATTGTTTTGTTGCATCATTGTGAAATTAGGAAAGTAATTTCCTGATCTTAAGTTTACGATTCATTAATAATCTATTGCTTGGATTCTGTCTCATTACTGTGCTCTTGATGGCAATGCATCCAGGATGTTGATCTTTTCATATTGTGGGGTGAAGAGATTCTAATTGAAGCCAACCTGATCTTGGACATTCTATTTCTTGTATATTATGAGTCATTCTCTACTTGCAGTGCTTCTAAATGGAAGGATTTATGCCTGCTGTATAAGGTATATATTTTTGTTGGTCCTTCTGTTGTTCTCTTACTGCTCAATGTAATTGTGGAATGTATATCGTCACTTTCTCACTTACCAAAAATTGGCATTTCAGGATATGACAGCTGGATCATCAAACTTTGTTAAGCTGGGTGTGTCTGCTGAAGCTTGTAAATATTGTTATCTTGCTAAGATTCAGATGCTATTGATACTTATAGAGGCCTTGGACTTTGAGAGTCTTCTTCAAATGATACATGATGAAATTCCCTTTAGGCAAGTTTTCAATTTGATCCAATTGATGTGGTGTTGCCTTCTGCTCTAAAGATTGATAAACCACCTAAAAATTAATATTGTTGCTTTTGCGAATGTTGTATGTTGCCGATATTGTCACCAACAAAATTAAGTAAAATGTCAGGAGTGGGACTTAATTGTTTCAGCTATTGGCATGACTGTCTGTACTCTGTAGTAGTTTAGTGGTGAAAATGTTGCCCTTATCCTCTGGCTCCTTTTCCTTTCCTGAACTGCAGTTTCTATAGTGTTGGGAAAATTTTTCTGCATAGCATTGCAACAATCAGAAGCTCGTTCTTCTGTGTCTAACACTCAATGGGAGAAGGAATGGTACCTTATTTACCCTATGGGTGTAGGGTTGTATTTTTACCTCATTAATAAGGATATGTGTACCCATGCACATGTTTTTAGGGCTTAAAGTAATGTTCAGATGACAAATTTCTGCTGGAGTAGCTTTAATATCCTATCAAACCTGTCCAAATAAACTAACTCTGTACCTAATAATGCGGTTGAAAGCTTAAATTGGGCCCATATCTCTTATGGACTTAGCTGTTGTAAAGTTTTCTATTGCTGTGCCAAAGACTTATAGCCAATGTTATAGGCTTTTGATTGGTCAAATTTCCAGCGACTGTGGCTCCTTTTGTTTTGTCTTTCTATTGTATTATTTACAATTATATGACAATTGACAACCTTCTTTGTGTTTTGATTATTCAGCAAGGATAGCTCTTGTGTGTTTTCATCAAGTGATATCCTAGAAATGGATTCTGTAATATCCAGTTTTGATATTTATGAAACCAAAGAAGCGGGTCCTCTGATCCTTGCCTGGGCTGTTTTTCTTTGCCTGATTGTATCTCTTCCTGGAAAAGAGGAACACAGTGAGCTAACGGTAAGCTTATCTGATAATATAGTTTTCTTTCACATATCATATTTATAAGCACATGTTGTATGATTTATTCAGGAAGTTGACCATGTTGGGTATGTTCGTCAAGCCTTCGAGTCTTCTTCATTGAGCATTTTTATGGAAATTCTTCAAAGTGATGTGATGAAGGATTCAGATGTAAGTTATACCTGCTGATATTCATCTTTACATGTAGAGAGTACAGTTAGTGATTTTATTCCTTTTGTTATCTTGGATATGTTGCTTTGCCATTTTTTGCTGTAAGTCTGCAACTATATGAAGTTATGAACTATTATGCAGAGACTTGACAATTGATCTGTAGTTCTTGCCGAAATCAATTGTCAATATCATTTTATTCCTGATGGGTTCTGTATGTCTTTGCTCAAGGGACCTCTGGCTGGATACCGAAGCATCTTGAGGACATTTGTTTCTGCATTTATTGCATCTTATGAAATTAATACCCAGGTAATTATTATCTTTTGGGGATGAAGAGGAGGGGGGGGGGGGCATCATTAATGTACTAAGTTTATTGTTTATCTTAGCTTCACCTATATGGTTCCATCGTTTTGCAGCTGGAAGATGATACTTTCAGACTTATATTAAATACCCTATGTGAGACCTACCGTGGAGAGGTATGTATTCTACTTTCTTTCTTTCTTTTTTTTTTTTTTTTTTTTTTTTTGTAAAATGTTTCTTGAATTTTATCATTGGTAACTACATTTGTGAATATATTACTTGCCGGAAGCTTTTGGTTGATGGAGCGAGGTAAATTCCGCATTCCTTAAACTTGATAAATGCTCACGTTGTTCCACTTTACTTGCCCTGTTTGACCAAAAAATCTCTCATTTTTGGTCAAATGGGCAGCTAAAGTGGGATGGATGTAGTAGCATTTTTGCACTCTCTTTTGGAAGTAGATGGACGTGTCATTAAATTTTCTTAAATGAAGGTTCCTTAATTTCATATCAATTTTTTATGTGCTTATTGTGGGATTTTTTTTAATAATATACTCCCTCTTCCCCAAATGATGGGTATCAGTTTCTATAAAGCCGTCGCTAATTACTTACAACACTCTTTCTGAAGGCATGAACCCTCAATATCTTTCATAGTTTCATATTTCTCACTGACTTTCAGACCAATATACTTGTTACTTTCTATAAAAATATAAAAATAAATCCTCTTACTCACATCTTCATAAGTAATGATACATTTCCCTCTAAAAAATTACCCAACTATCAACTACCACCCAATAGAATATAATTTCAATTAAATTGCCTAAATCCTTTACCACTTAAAGGCGTTATGAGTGATTTGGGAGGAAGTAGTATTTTAATACTGTATGATTTGGCTATTGATCCAAAAGGGTCAACATTAATGGTGTTAACCATGTGCTCGTTATTTGATATAGTCTCATCTATTATGTGCATGCTTTTTATAAAGTTGATATTTGCAAACTAGCAAATGTGCAGTTTACTTTTAAAAACTTTATGCACCTTGAAATTTGGCGTAGTTCCACTTCGGTGTCCTGTGTTTTCTCTAATTTTATGCTGGTGCCTTGACATTCTTTCATGAGATTCTTGTTTTACATGTTGATTCCACTACAAGTTGGAGCAGAATTTAAACCTTCTTTTATACTTTGTTGTGTTTGATGAATTTGCCAAGTTTTTTTTTTTTTTTTTTTTTTCTTTTAAAGTTTTTTTTTTAGTAAAAAACCAGAATATAAGGAAGGGAAATAATATTTTATTTTATATTTTTGTGCTGTTTGTAAGAACTTGGGATTTGTAAGAATTTTAGATGACGTTAGTTATCCATTGAATAATGAAAGATACGTGATAATTTTTATTATTATTATTTTTTTTGATGGGGTAAATTAATTAAATGGAACTGTTGAAGAACTTAATTTCATGACATTAAAGTGGGGGAAAAAAAAACCTTTGAATGTCAGGTTACCGAAATGGAATTGGTATAAACGCGGTGCACCAAAAATAGAATTTTGTGAAACCTTATGGTACACCAAAGTTATACTTGTAATCGCTGATTTGGTAGAGAAGTGCTCTAGTTTGTAATCTGATTTAAATATGCTGCAGGAGTCACTTTGTGTTCAATTCTGGGACAAAGGCAGCATAGTTGACGGTCCTGTTCGTTGTCTCCTTTGCAATCTGGAGGGTGAATTTCCGTACAGAACTATTGAGCTGACTCGCTTTTTAACTGCAGTCTCTGAGGGGTGCTGGCCTGCGGAGTGTGTGTGAGTAAAGATTTGTTTTTGTGTTGAGTAAAAAAAGTGAATTTTTCTCTGAAAATTTCTTGAAGTTTCAGTGGTTTGATTTTCTTGCTGACCCTCTTCCTTGTTCCTAGCTGTATACAGCTTCGTAATGCTTTTATTATGTGATTTATTTGCATTTTTCGTAATATGATATATTTATATAATTATAGTTATTGCTCACATTTTGCTAACTTAAGTGTTGAAACTCAAAGCAGGACATTTAATTTATATTGGACGGAGAAATAGTTTTTTTTTTTTTTTTTTACCTTATGAGCGAGAGGAGGTAGAGGGAGACCAAATATGACTTGGTTGGAAGGAGTTAGGAAGGATATGAAGCAAATGGATTTGCATGAGAATGAGGTAATTGATTGTAAGGGATGGAGGAGGAAGATTTTTGTGGATGACTATATGGAATAATCACTTTTTGTTATGTAGCCTACAATGCAGAAACTAGTTTCACCGAGCTTACAATGCAGAAACTAGTTTCACCTAGTTTTGCCTCTAGTTTGATGCATTAATTGCATGATGGGGTTATCATGCTCATAGGTTATCTTAGGCATTGGGAACAAAATTTTTGACTTGTTCTGGAACCTTGTCTTCTAATGAGAGTGAACATGTTGAAAATTTGTGGATTCAGTTTTTATTGTCCAATTATACTCTTAGGCATAAATGATTTGACAAACAAAGTTGGGATATCAAACTGTCTCATAAGTCATAACTCTGGATTTCTCATCTTATTTATGTTTGCAGGTACAATTTCATGGAGAAATCTGTTGGAATCTCGTCTGTGGTTGAGATAGATAGTGATTTGTTGGCTGGTGGAGCATCTCAGCTAATTGAGACTCAAATTCCATTGCATGTTCCTACTGTTGAAGGTTTACTTATTCCAAGTAAAACCCGTGGTCGTATTCTGAGAATGATTGATTCCAAAACTGCTCTTGTGCGCTGGGAGGTAATTAAAGTATCTTCGATTTGCTTCTTGTTTGCTCCATTTTCTCTCATGATATAGGATGAAAAAAAGTTCCATCTCAGTGCCCCTTGCATTTTAAATTTCTTTATTCTGGATGATTACAATTAGCCTATAACAAATTATATATAGTAAGGTACAAAGGTGCCTTGTTTCGAATTGATTTTCTCTGTTAATTTAATCATTTTCCCTTACCATTTCTAGAACGTTGATGGGTTGATATTTGGTAACTTGTTTCATGATAGATATTTATTATGATGACTGTTGTTATTGTATAATATTGTGGACGCTTTTTTATTTATTTTATTTTTTTTTACTTCATGTAATTTTTTTTTTTTTTTTTTTTTTTTATACGTAGTATTTTTTTTGTTAGGCGGTTGATTGAGTGATTTTTTACTTGCTTAGATTTTTCTATGACTAGGTGCTAGATTGTTTTGGTTTGAACTGGAGTGATTTTATGTGGCATTAACATTTGCTTCATAAACCTGCAGTACAAGCAGTCTGGGATGGTTATCTTGCTTCTGCGTTTAGCCCAGATGCTGGAGCTGAATGGTAATGAAGAGGTTCTTGTGATCCTTGACCTTTTTAGTCGAGTTGTATCCTTCAACATGGTAAGAAGCTATTTGATACTCTTGTTTGCATGCTGATTGCTAATTGAATTAATTAGCCTCTAAGTTTTGGAGTTGGCTCTTTCAAATGAAATTGTATAATCAGATTTTAATCCTTCATTATTGATAGAATTTTAAGTAGGTCATAGCCTCATAGGTGAATGTTGCTGTACAACACCCTATAACACAATTTTCCTTGAGAGTATATATAGTCCTCCAAAGTTTTGTTGTTCTAACTTGGCCTCTTATCCAATTAATTTCAGTGCTTGGCTTTGGATTTAGTAACCTCTAGGATCCGGATGTTAAACTCTTGTTTTTCTACCTCACCATCACCTCAATTTTCTACCAAGGCCCTTGCCTAGGGTGTGAGGGTCAAATAAATGCAGACCTAAGAAAGGTTAAAATCAAAGCTTTTTATACTTGTTTAACAATAAGAATCTTAAACTTATGCTGATCTTAAATGTACAGCTATACTTTTTGGACCAGCCTTGTTATGGACATAGTTTTTGAAAAAAATTTGGGTATTATGTTGAAAAGATACGATCAGTCAAGGAACAACCTTGAAGACCAGTAAATGTCGGTTTGAGATTGTGAGTATAATGTACTGATATGCACTCCCCCAAGTGTAAATAGCAGGGTGTTATCCTTTACAACATAGTGCTATTCCAGAGCTACTGAGATTAGTGCTGTTGCTCAGAGCCCTACATCATATAGCTAGGACTTAGGGTATGCACTACTTTAAGGAGTTTCGAGTAGTCAAGCTGAAGTCTTAATACCCTTCTACTTGTGGTCTCTGGAATGAAATTATCCCAAAATAGGCAAATATTCCACATGACTATCGTTGCTTATGAAGGCTTTCACAGTATACATCAATAGTCTGCGCTGTTAACGTTTATAGAGTAATGATACTAGGTGAAAAGATCCTGCTGTTATAGTGAAATCAGTATGGTATGTTGAGGCATCACAATTTATCAGTATCTTGTATACAAGAGGAAGCAGAGAGTTTGGACTTCCGAATATGGTAGGCTGTTTATCTTGTGCGTGTCTGATAGTGGTAATGACTAAGGCTCTAAGCTTCTTGCTGGTTCCTTAGGCCACATATCTGAAAAATAATTAAGGATTAAGCCATGTGCAGTAGGAACAATATCTGCTCACCTGAAATAGATAGGCTTTGTTTTTAGCTGCGTGAATAAAACGTCGCATATATCTTTACACTGCATACCATTTACCTGCAACATCCTCTCACACTGTCTTGTGCTTAATCATATGCAGGATGTTTGTTTTTCTATGATGAATATTGGCAAATCGCTTTATCTTCAAACAAGCTATGGTGGTGAGCATATGGAGGGTGGTATCTGGTACCTTTCAGTCCGAGTTTCATTTTGCTTTTGTTTATTTCTCCTTGTCTAGTTTTTAATATTTTAATGTCAAATTTTCTTTTTATTGCAGGATTGACATGGTTGAAGTCTTATGCAACCTTGTCAGAAATCTGTCACCATACAGTGGCAGTGTTTTAGCCATGTCCATGACTGTTAATATTCTTGCAAAGATGATGAAAGGGTAATTTTCTCAATTGTTCTACGTTTTGGCTGATTGTCTATTTTCCTGGAAGCATTCCTTGAACAAACAAAGTTTGTAGATTACAAAAGAGTGTGTGTGTGTGTGTGTTTTTTTTTTTTTTTTTTTTTTTTTTTTTTTTTTGAGAATTAATTCCTTTCCTTTTATTGTCCTTTGAATTCAGCTCACCATCACATGTTAGTGCTGTGGTTTTGAAGATGAATATATTTGATCTGTCCCTAAAATCTAGCATATTCAATGATCAGAACAGTAGTTTATCAAGGTTAGTGCTTATCATTTGGTCATTATACCGAGTAACTTTCAAGTGAAATGGATATGCATTGTTGTTACTTGCTTTTGTGGATATCATTTATTTGTTTTGTGTTTGCATCTATTCCAACTCCTCTAACTACTTACTGGGTTTAAGTTATTATTATTTTTTGAGTTATGGATTCGTTGGATTGACCAGGTTGCAGTACCTAATTCTATCTTGTAATTGAAACTTCCGTCTCTTACACAATTTGCTTGTGATTACTGTAAAAATCTTGTCTATGGCAGTTTTTAGTTTTTTACAATGGACTGTTGGTGTTGTAATTTTCATCTAATATGTCAGCTTTATGGTAAACTCCAACAACTCTCATCATAAAACTGGCAAGATTTGTGGGTGTAGCAAATTAAATCTGAGACCTAGTGTTTGAGCATTATAATTTCAAGTAAATTGCTTCAAGTCTTCAACGATTTACTTAAACAGATTTTTGTATCTCGTACAAATGGTGAATGACAAATGGACATATCAAGATGTAGAACTTGACATTTGATGTTTTCTATTTCTATACCAGTGGTTCTTGGTTACTTTCGGGAAGACTTGCAAAAATGCTTTTGATTGATTGTGAGCACAATGGTGGTTGTCCCCTGACTATTTCAGGTATCTACATTGATTTTGATCATGCTTATTACTTTTGCTCTTTCTCTTTAGCAGTCACTCATTCACATACTTACGGAATCGTGCTATATTTACCATTGTTTACATTGAATTTCATTATAGATTTTTGACCCTTGATTATGTTGGGTATTTAATCAGCTTTGATGGTGGCTGCACTATGTAACTATTTACTATCTCTTAGTTTTTCTACATGTATCTTTTCCTAGGGAAGGAAAAAGAAATCTTCCATAGTTTTTCTTCAGATGTCCCTTGCACTGGTTCATCCTTTTCTATTGAGTAAATGTATCTAAACTTTGTATGTAATTCTGGTTGGGCTTTAGCATGCATTCTTCCATTTCTAGCTTCTGTTTGCTAGATATTGGGGGTAACCAATGCCAAAGTCATAGCATTTTCTTGTTATCGGTTATTCCTAGTTAACTTCCCTTGATGGCCACCTTTTAATTTCCTTGGATTTTTTCAAATATACATTTTTATACTGTTCTGAGCTTATGGTGTCTTGTTTTTTTGTTCAGTTAAGGGTTGAATATTGCGTATTTTCTCCACACAAATCGTTTTTGTTAACTTGTTAGTGTACACTCCCTCTTTAGTAGTTTGAAGTTATTGTAGATAAATCCTGGTCCTGCAAAAACAATCCTCATTATAATCTGAATTTATCATTTCCCTTCTTTCTCTTCTTTGGTGTTTCTTACTTTATTATCACTCTTCATTTGTGAGTTTTCTTGTGGTGTAACTTAAGTAAACATGTACCACTTACATTATGAAATTGGGTTTAATATGAAATATTTTTTTAGCTTAGTTTTCCTTTTCGTACTTTCTCTTAGCCACCGACTTATACGTGCATTCAAATGTGTAAGAAGCTGTATGTAATTAAAAAATGAAGAGAGTATTAATTTGTATTACTTTTATGTTCCACGGAAAAACATATTTTTCAAATTATTGTGTGTGTCAGTTAAAGGTACAGGCAATAATTATGTAGAAGATGAAACAGTACTCAAAAAGAAAAGGTTGTCATTCTTTTCAATATGCATAAGTGCCCATGCAGCAAAGTAGTTCAATCATTCATTGAAATTGTCTAAAGTGCTACTCCGTAACATCTAGTGATTATAAAATGCGTTTGATTAATCAATCAACTTAGCTAGAATCATACATATTAACATATATAAACTTTGCCTACAAATCTGGAAACCCTTTGTTCTTTTCTGCCAAGCTGTAAGTTTGTTAAAAAAAAAAAATTTTAATATATAAGACGCTGTTGATTTAGTTGTTACATTTTGAGGTCCTATGTCAAATTACCGAGCTCTGTCTGACAATAGATTAAGAAGATATTGTGTATTCTGATTTCCTCGTGATGTTTCCCAAAGTGGAACTTTGATAGATGTTTTGGTGCAAGGTTTATTGGAATTCTTGCTGCATCATTAAGATATCCTTATTTTGTCAGTGTATACTTAATTTTCTGTATGTTCATTTTTTACTATTTGTAATGTTCAAATGACTTCTCAAGAAACTAGTCTAAACTTCAAGGGCTGGTTGGAAGGAGAATAGTTAGATTAATTTCTTTTCCCTGCCTCTCATCCTACCCTGTTTTGCTTCTGAGTTAGATAGTGGTGGATGAAAAATTTATAAATAACTGCCATCTAGGATTAGAGTGCTGGAACCATCTTGGAGTTTTCTAGATATCCTATTGTTTGTCACTGGCTTCCGACATCTGTCATCTATGGCACATTCTTATACCTAATCTTTGTTTGCTCTCGTTTATTTTCAAATCTTTGCCATTTCTATCACTACGTATTTGTTATACTACTATAATATTACAGAGGTTTCATACAACTTTGTTTGATATTGCAGTTTTGGAATTCACCCAGCAACTTCTTGGAGCTGGGGTAGAAAATGAATTTTCCCATGCTCTTGTCATGTTCTGTCTTCAGTATGTCTTTGTAAATCATGAGTACTGGAAATATAAGGTGAAGCAAGATCGATGGAATGTGACTCTGAAAGTATGTAATATTTTTCTTTCTGTGGTATCTTCTAGTTTTCTTTTGCCTTATTTTGTATGGCTAAGAGGTTGCATAATCACTGTGAAGTTCCATAATCAATTGACTTTTATAGTTATCTGGATATACTAAATGATAAATAGACTGTGGTCTTCAGAATTTCCAATACATCATCCTCTGCTTTCATCTTGAACTTTATGATATGTTTTGGTTTGCCCTTTTATGGGATATGCACATCAGCACCTTCTTTTTAAACAAATGTGTCCAATTCTCCATAACTAGTTATGCAATTTTGCGATGATAAAATCAAATATCCTGTAACAATCCGAGTATCAAGTCAGTATTTATAGTATCAAAAGTCTTGAAATAGGACTATAGGAGTCTGAATGTGGTTGAAAGTCAGGAGGCTGTTATATCAGTATATGACTCTGTCAAAAGCCTGGTACCATACATTTACTTGCATGCTACATTCATAGTGATTATGTTGATAGACATTAATTTCCGAAGTAACGGAGTGTTTTGAGAGATATTATTTGCAAACAAATAGATTATGTTGACAGACTTTAGTCTGCATAGAAACAGATTATGTTGTTCTTACCAAATTGCATTTGATGATAACTGTCCTGTTGGTAGATTTTCTGTTTTGAGCTCCCCTCACATCATAATCATGTATTTGTCATGCATCTCTGAGAGATGGGAAGGGTTCAAATGCCTGAGTACATTGGATATATTCATAGATATGATTTCTCCAGGGCCACATCTGTGGATGTTTCTTCTGCAGAATACGATACTACACCAATTAATGGCTTTTTCTTTCTAGAATTTCTATTGCTGTGTGTCATTTTATTTCTCCTTTCTGCACAGGTGCTTGAAGTGCTGAAAATGAGCATTATATCTGTCCTATACCTGACAAAGCTCGGTGGGTATATGAAAGATATTATACTTTCTGATTCTTCCATCCATGGTATGATACTTCGAATTATTTGTACAACTTCACCAGCATTAGAGGTAATTGTGACTCATTTTAAATTTACATTCATTCTTATTTCTAGGTTTTTTACTTTTCAATTGTAGAGTTAAATGTTTCCGTTTATGCTCAGAAACTCAACGCCAGTAGACTTTATGATTGGAGAGAGATTGATGGGTTGCAGCATGCAATAGCCTCCATGTTGGATATTCTAGTGAACATTCTCTCCACCTTCCCAGAGGTACTACTTCTCTCTTTGCAATATAGATCTCATTTACATTATAAAATGTTGAACAAAATCCTCCCTGTCCACAGGCATAACTACAAAGAGGGGACAGGATAAGGGGAAGGTATTCTGAAGTAGGTTGTGTAACTACTATGTAGATCTTCTATTAGCCTTTGTTTAAGTTTGTTATTTTATCTCGGGTGCAATATAATAGACATTCCTTCCAAAGCTTTAGATCTTTTACTCCTGCCATTTTTAATTAGTTGTTGTACATTCTTTTCGTGGTGTTTTAAAGTAGTTGTGCTGCCTTTTTATTTATTTATTTATATATATAATATATTTTTTTTCTCCAAAGTAACTTTTGCCTCCGACTCAAATTGGTATTTATACCCTTGTTTTTCTATCAACCCTTGCTTTACGATACATGTATACCCTTACATCACCCTTTAACTTCAGCCATAAAACGCATGTAAAATGAAGTGAAACAACTATATGCAAAGGAGGGACTCAAAGGAGTACGTAAGAAGCCATAGATCATGGTATAACTTTTATAGAATTTAATGCTTCACATATGGCTGTAATTCATTTCAAGGTACATCTTTATTTATTTGTAACTATTCTTGGACAACATTGTATTTACCTGCCATATTCCCCTGCTATTTTACAGGATGACTACTCTGGCTTGCCAGTCTTCTACCAAGCATTGCTGTCAAACTCTACTAAGCCGATTCCTGTTGTTGAGGCCCTGGCATCCTTAATCTCGTATTTCCGAAATCCTGTATGCTTTAAGTCTTTTTTATCATAAGATTTCCTTCTTAAGTCAATCTAATTAGGGCTGTTGAAATTGAAAGAAAAATTAACTATCACATTCTATTGTCATATACTACCTCCATTGCCAGAAGTTCTTTACGATTAGTGTTTGCACACAAATTTAGGCAATTGGGTAAAAATGTTGATGTGTCTAGTGGGTTGGAGAAAAGTAAACATTGTGAGGAGAAGGGGGTAAGGTAGTAAAATGAATATGCAAAAAATAGAATTAAAATTAAGCAAAAGTGTGAAGAACTTGTAGGAATTGACTGATATGGAAAGCATAATGAACTTCAAGAACAGAGGTAATATGAGATAATTAAGAGGATCAGAAAATTTGTAAATATGTCTGTTTTAATTAGATACATGTATAGAGTATGCTGATTGGAGCATTATGCAGGCTATACAATTGGGAGCTACTACAGCACTTTCACTGCTATGCCGGACTGCTGATCGTTTGCAACCTTATCTATCTGGAAACGCAAACTTCGGTCTCGGTGCTAAACAGGTTGAATTTTATATCTGGTACAATATTGTTCAATCAAACTCTATGTGCTGTGTGGTTGAAATTAAAAATCAATGGGAGTCTTATTGTCTATCCTTATCCTGGACACAGACTTTGTGGCTGTGTATACAAGTCCTTGTCTTTAAAAGCTTGATATGTTGGTCTAAATAAATTTTTATTTGATTGTATTGTTTGCCTAAAGAACTAAATGAGGAGATTCCATATTTTGAGCTTTCTGAAACTATTTTGCCTCAGGTTATGCAACTAAGATCTGCCATTGAAAGTATTATTCGTGAACAGCCTGAAAGAAATGAACCCCTCTTTGTAGCAGCTATTGAGCTACTCACTTCTGCAGCAACTCACCAGGTTTGTTGCGTTTCAGTACTTTTCAATAAGAAACTGTAATGATGCCAGAGTATCCTATTGTTGACTCTATATGAATGAATTGAGTTGTGCTCTAAAAGAAAAAATTGAATTTTATGCTGGAGTAAACTATTGCTGACTCTGTATGAATTATCTAGCTATGTCTACATCTGCTTCTACTCTCTATTTTCTGTCATATCTATGTATGTGTTTAGGAAGTTTCTTGGACTATAGTTTAATTAGGTGAAACAAGAGCTATGCTGTAGTAATGGTTATCAAGTACGCAAATACAATCCAACTATCAAGATGGAATCCGTGGACATGGAAGTTATGGAGTTGGAATAGTGATGCCCATATTATGGAGAAATAAGTGTTCCATGGACTACTTGTGCAAGCCAAGACTGAGGCACATGCTACATACAACTTGAAAACCTTTGCAAGTCAAACGGAGCCAAACTTTAGGGAACTTGGGCTTTTGTTATTATCAAATATTTGATTAGAGAGAACTTGTGCTTTTTGTAGACATGGTTAGAGTCATATCTTATTGGGTTTAATTGAGCTTGGTCCACCATGTGAGATACTCAGCTTTAGACAATGCTAAGGCGCTAAGCTAAAAGACACTTCTTGATAATGTAAATGATTATTTTTGTTATGTTGAATATTGTATAATTAGATTCGCATTGAATTTAGGCTGCCATGACAGCTGTTTCTATGTAGTGCAGTACCCTGCTTAAGTGTAATTCCAATTTTCATTTGAGTTTGTTCGTCTGTGCAATAATATTCCCCCTTATCATGGTTTTAGTGCTCTTCCAACAAGAATGAAAAGCAAGCATGTAATCTCTTCTCATGTTGAGTTTTATGTTACCACTTATCTGGTACCACATCTTACTTTCTTCCTGCTTTGGTGTCTGTTCACATTATTTACTATTCTGCTTGTGCAGCCTGCTTTTCTTGCTGCTATATTTGCTGGTGACGAGATAAGAGCTGACCATTTAGGGACTAATGGTGATCTAAATGAAAAGGGATGTTATTCAACTTCCCAGGCTTTGAAATCTGACAATGCAACACATCTAGTGGATATGCTTGTGCTTTATGTTGATAGATCTGTTACACTTATTTTGAGGTAATAAGAGTGATGCATTGTATATCAATCTTGTAAGCCAATATAATTGTATGCCACACACACCCCCCCCCCCCCCCCCGCCCTCCACCCCTAAAAAAAGTTGTTCTAAGCTAATTTTTTTCATCTTCTGTATCTTACATCCAGGAATGCCAGAGTTCTTTTAAGTATACTGAATCTTATGAAAGCACTGTGGCAAGGAGCTGCTCAGTATTTTGATATTTTGAAGGCCATCAGAAAATGTAAGATGTTTTGGAAACAGTTGTCTGAATCTGTAATTCTCATCAGCCGTAAAGAAGCTCCCTTGCCGATAAATCTTGCTGAAACTGAGGCCCAGAAATTATCTTATGAGTATCAATGTCAGTCTGCTGCATTGGACATTATGGCCTTAGAAATATTCCTGCAAAAGAAATTAATGCATGTCAAGTCACTGATGAGACAAACTGATCAATCCTTGAAAGAAGGAATTGGTGGTGTTGGGAATAATGCACAAGGTTCCGCAGAATCTGAGCAGCTAGAAGATATCCTGCTATCTTGGTCTGATACCCCTTGTTTGAGCAATCTTCTAAAATCTTCTGCAGCTTGCATGTATGATACTGATGTTTATCTTCAAGCAAAGGTTAGTTTATTGTATTACCTTGTTACATTGTTGAGGCTTCATTTTTATCCTTACCTTCCTTGTTACTCAAAAGATAGTTTAGAATATTGAATCTTTGTAGCTATTCATCATAATCTGAAGTGCATATGCACTATTATTATTCTGTTTCTTTTTATTTGTCCCATACTCCCATTTAGTATCTCCAATTTTCAGGATAGATCAACTTAAACAATGAAAAATCATTGATAAATATGAGAAAAAAAACATATTCATTGGGATGTTCGATTCATCTCGATGTTTAGTTTCAATATATGCAGTTTTACCAAAATCACAACCCCTCTCATTTCACTAATCTCTTTAATTATCAATAAGTAAAAGTTAAATTTTGATGTTGTGAAAGTATATATTGAGGTGAATCCCTCCTTATCTCCTTTATACTTTCTTTTCATCTATCCCCACATTTTCACTCTTATTTTTAATTACTCTTTAACTTTTCTTGTACGAACCAAACAAAGGAAAACTATCTTGCAAGTGTGGTTTTTCTTGAAAATACGTTTTCCATAAAAACTAATTTTTCATTAAAAATGTTTTACATCAAACCAAACGGGGCCTTAGTGAAAAAGGAGGAAGTATTATTTTTTATTCCTGCTTTTAGAGATTTTGATGCTGGAATATGTGCATTGAGCATTGTGCCAAATGGCAAACGGGACAAAGAAAAGGAATGAAGGGAGAATCTCTCTATTGGGTTTATTTAGAACATCTCAGGTTATATAAAAGATACTATAGTGATGTTATTGAATATTCTAGCTTTTTATAGGTGCTGTCCGCTTTCTCTCCATTTAGTTTAAATATTGTTATTTATAAACTGGACTATCCTCGAGCAACTTTTTTGTATGCTTCACCTAATTGTTTTCTATATGATGTACTGTCTACCAAGGTCAGCTGTTTTCTTTTCCCTAACCCCGAGTTCCAGAATGATAGTTGTTTCTGGGATGCATGCTGTATACTTGATTTCTTTCTATATTTTACAATTTATTTTATGTCCTCTCTGCAGATTGCTTTTGGTTTACTTGTTACACACATAATTGGGAAGTTGGCCACAGGTGATTCTGGTAGCATGTCTTTATCTTTCATAGCAGATGTAACCGCATTGTCTACAAAGGTCAGTTCCTTTTGTTTTCATGCTGAAGGTTCCACCTGCTATGTGGGCCTCTTAACATATATATCTCTTTCATAGTTGTGTATTATATCTTGAATGTGTTTACTAACCTTATTAAGTTTACTGCTTGTACTCAATACTCCTTGCCACATGTCACTACATCCAAAAGATGTATGCATATGTTGTCTTGAATATATCTATGGACAGAGGATATCTTGTTTAGGGAAAGAATTCATGTGTTAACCTGTCAGAACAAGAGAATTACATATAGATTGAAATGTTTACAAGCTGAAGTATATGTTTTGGAATGCATGAGATGTGATTGTTCTCATCTTAATTTTCGCGATCTTCAATAATATGATGTGTACCTATTCAGCTCTCATTGGTTTTTTTCGTGAATTATGAAATTGTGCTTATTTGTTTATTATGTTGTGAAAAAGAGTGACAGTTTCAGTTAGTATAAGGATTATATTTTCATGCTTAGGATCTACTACTACTACTATTAGTATGAATTAGTATCATTAGGTTTTGATAAAGACAATGAAATGATGTTTTATGAAAAAGTTAATAAATGTAAATGGCGTTGTTTGGGATAAAATCATTTTTGGTGTTGGGCTACTTATGTTTCTTGTAACATTTTAATTTAATCCATTATTACTCTGTACGTCTTACCAATTGAATTGTCTACCCAAAAAAAAAAAAAAAAAAAAAAAAATAAATAAAAAAAAAAAATCTGTGGATTGTATACTTCTATGTTATTGAATAATAAGCAAACAAATTTATAGCCGTGAACAAGTATTGTGTATTTAGAAATCTTGAAAACTGTGAAAAGTAAGTTGCAAGCAGATTATGATGGAATAATATACCATAGAATTTGATGTGTTCCATCTTTGTGTGTATGCTCATACTAACATATTATTTGCCTTCTTTCCTCTTCTGATGCCGTAGTCTGATAATTTATTATGGTAACTTCATGCAGTTATTCAAGCTACCTGCATTTTCGGAATTGTGCACCCAATATGCTCAGCATGGTTACAGGTATGAATATCCAGTCAAATGAAGGATGAAACTATTTGTGAGATTGTGAGAATTAGTTCAGTTGAGAAATTATAAGATTATTTCTGAAGGTTATGCACCCAATATGCTCAGCGTGGTTACAGGTGTGAATACCCAGTCAGAATACCCAGTCAAATGAAAGATGAAAATTGTTTGTGAAAATTAGTTCAGTTGAGAAATAATAAGATTGGTTTTTATAAAATAGTTATTATGAAGGCTATTATTGTTTGAGGAATGAGTTTTCCAGTTTGTGGGATGAATTATAGATAGCTACTTATATATATATATATAAATGCTTGTACGCCAGTGTCATAAAATGTGTGTCTGCCAAAAAGATGTGATGGCTGCTTGTGTAACTGGAGGTCTGGAGCTACATCTGTGTTTTGAAGAATTTACATACTGATTGGGTCTTTTGGCTATGTGATGCATATCCAATTTTTTTTATATGTCTTTTCTGAATGCCTTTCGTGCATTTATTACAAAAATTGAAATCTTGCATTCTCCATCCCTGCTATTTGTTTCTGTCTTTAGGATCCTTAGAGCACTTGTACTCTGGTGTAATGGGATACTGTTCTTTTCTTTCAGTGAAGGAATCCACATAAAGAACTTGATACTCAATGATCTCTATTATCATCTGCAAGGAGAGTTGGAGGGACGTGACATTGAGCATGGTGCATTCAAGGAGCTTTCCCAGTTCTTATCTAGCTCAAATCTTCTGCAAACTTACCAGAAGAAGTGTGTTAATGACTACTCGGCAGGAGCCAACAATGCTTACCTATTTGATCTTTGGCGCCTCCAACGTGACATTGGCCTTCATATTTGGGATTGCTCGGAATGGAAAGCGTCAAAAAAGATAGCGGAGAATACATTGTTTTATGTGCAGCGTGCCAACTCCATGCTGCTAATCCTCGGTTCAAGACTCCCAGCGTTGCGAGCTCTTGTAACAATTTTAACTCTTGATATGGGGGATGTAAGTTTCTAGCTTTCCTTATTTTGCTTATGTTATCATTATCTGAGTTTTGGGTAAGTTCTGCATAGTCATAAAAGATTTGATTACTATGATTAGTTCTTTAGTGTGGTTCTTAAGGATAGCCATCTGGAATGTGCATTTGCCCACTTCTCTGTGAGTACTCAGTAGGCTGGATCTACCAGAGCATTTATCTTCTATGATTTCAATTGATCAATTTGGTTGAATTCTGCAATTTCATGTTTACTTCTTTAGTGTCTATTTTACAAACATGCATTGAACAATCCTCGATCTTTTTTTCTAAAGGTTGTCTTTACTATTTCCAATTGGTCTTTTTAATTGCTTACTCTACATTATGTGGTTTATCACATGTTCAATTTAAACTAGGTGGTATAGCTTCAAATATGAGATATCTTTAAGACCTTTCTGAACTATTACGGAGTATAAATCTTCTTAATTCAGTAGGATATTTGTAAGTAAAATCCTTTCTTAAGCACCATAAGACCTTTCTGAACTGTTACGGAGTATAAATCTATCCATAACTTGCTGATAAATAGTTTCGAGACATGGTTCATTTCATGTTGACTATTCTAAATTGTCATTTTGGAATGTTGCAATGCTGCTTGAACAGTGCATATTGTGATAATCTTTGTTCATTTCACTGATCTATTATCTTTGTCTTATTTAATTCAGTCGGTGAACAAACAGAAGAGTATGTTGAAGAAAATATCCAGGGACAGACTTCTTGCCTGTGTAGATCATGAATGCAATGAGTTACAAACAACTTTGGGATTACTGACAGCTGCATCAGATGCTCCACCTCAGGAAGTTCTTAATTATGTAGCTGCTCAGACAGAATTGCTTCTTTGTCTTGTTAGGCACGTTGACAGTGGCATGCCTTCACCTACTTGTTTGGTCATACTGAAAACTTGCGGTTTTGGTGTGAAAAAACTGCTTGAGTCTAGACTGTTTGGTAACAAGGTTAAACAAATAATTAGGTCCTTATTAATGCTGCTTCATTTGGTGGTGGATCATAGTTCTCACAGTATCTCTTCTTCAAGTACAAATGGCAGTGAATCTGAAGTCTCTACTGAAGTGATTAATAATTGTTTGGCCATATTGCCAATACTTTGCAGCTGCACTGAAATTCCTGATCAATCTATCACCCTTGCAACCATTGACCTAATAATTAAGAGATTATTGGCACCCAGCACATGGCTCCCCATCATCCAACAACATCTTCAGTTGCAGCAACTCATTGTCAAGCTTCATGATCAGAGCTGCTTTGAATCTCTTCCAGTTATAATGAAGTTTCTTTTGACCCTTGCAAGTGTGAAAGGAGGTGCCGAGATGATTGTTGCTTCTGGTTTCTTGTCATCTCTGAGAGTTTTGTTTGCCGAAATATCAAATGGCTGTGTGGCTAACTGGGTTAAGCCTGAGAAATCCACAATGGTGGGAGCTGAGATTGAAAAGCCACAGTTTATTTGGGGATTAGGCTTGGCTGTTCTTACAGAAACAATTTGTTCTTTAGGAGAAACTTCGCTTCGCAACGAAGTGGTAGATAACATGATATCATATTTCTTCTCTGAAAAAGCGTATCTGATAGCTTATCATCTTAGTATTATCCCATCTGATGATCATGATAAGAAACGTGCACGAGCTCAGAAGAGGAAGACCTCTTTATCTGCTTTTAGAGAGATGGAGCATACTCTTATGTTGCTTTGCATCCTTGCCAAGCATAGAAACTCATGGGTAAAGGCCACCAAAGAAATGGGTTCTGAGCTTCGGGGTAGTATTATCCATCTTTTAGCTTTCATTAGTAGAAGTCACCGTCTTGGAGAGTCGTCTGGCCGGCCTGTGCCTCTTTTATGTGCTCCTATGTCCAAAGAGGAAAATGATTATTACAAAAAACCATCATTTGTAAATAGCAGAAATGGATGGTTTGCTGCTGCTGCTCTTGGGTGTGCTCCAGCTGCCAGTCTCCCTGATGAATATTCACAGACTGCTATTGTGGTGAAGGACCAAGTAAATGGAAATGCGGAGTCAGGGAGATCTACATACTTCTCAGATACTGTTGCTGTACAGATATATAATATCACATTTCTCATCCTGAAATTCTTACTCCTGCAAGCTAAAGATGCTGCTGGACGAGCAGAAGAACTGGGTTTCATTGATCTTTCCCATTTCCCTGAGCTTCCAGATCCAGAAATATTACATTGTTTGCAGGTAATATATTTCTCCTGTTGTATAGATTTTACATCAGTTAACGACCACTTTGATTAGATGGTCAATTTGTCTTTATGCCATAATGTCTTTTCATTACATATGAACTTTGGATTCTGACTTCTAATCGTTTTTACGGCTTTACCGAAATCCAGGACCAGACCATTGCAATCGTTACTGAAGTTTGCGAAAGCAATAGATCTAAACAAATTCAACCTGACACCCAAGCAGTCTGCCTTTTGTTGCTTAAGATAGTGGAAATGGCTCTGTATTTGGAACATTGTGTCTCTCAAATCTGCGGAATTAGACCCGTGATGGGGCGTGTGGAAGATTTCTCTAAACAAATGAGATTTTTGGTCCGAGGTAAGTCACTTACAAGTCATTTCTACAGAAGACTGTTTATAAACCGTAGTTTATCAATTTAAATAGTGTTAATCTTAATATTTTGGTTGCAGCTACCGAGGGACAAGCGTTCATGAATTCGTCAATGAAGCATTTGAAGCAAATTGTATCATTTGTGTATCCAGGTTTGTTACAAAACGAAGGAATTTTGTAAATTCCGCTATATAGCAAGATAAGTGTTTTGTCCAAAACTTGTACAGAATATTGTAAAAGTAGTTCCCTTTATGTTTCTATAGAATCTTAAGACCTTCGTTGCATCTGGTCACTAGCGTGATTCCTAGAGGGGGTTAGAAAGAGAGTTGGAGAGAAGTGCAAGTAAGAAAAATTCCATATACCCTCTACGAGAGATACTTTTCCCATTCAATTTGATGAGGCAAAATCATTCAAGTTTGAGCTTGATCATTCACATCTCTGGGATCTTATATCGTTTACCTTTTCAGCTGTAAAGATAGCAGAGGTGATCGAAAAAGCCCGGCCATGATTGCCGTCATGGTCCATCCCGAAGTTGAGCCTGAGATTTAGCCTAGCCAGTCTCTTTAATCAATAGAACGTAACAAAAAATCTTCTACTTTGTATTTCATGTTTGTTTATAGCATGCCTCAAAAGAAAACGTGACAATATTTAGCTAAATGGAGCGTCTCTTCTTTCTTTTAGTCCTTTTCTTTAAGAAAATGATGGAGGTTGCCAAAAATAAGAATGATAATAATGATGGAAATTTTAATCAACAAAAAGAAAGAGAACAATGATGGGTATATAGGGTGGTGTTGAAAGGTTAACCTCAATATAATTCTTTTCCAATTTCAACACCCTTTTCCATTATGTTAGAATCACCTAAGATTTGTATTTTAACATGGAAAATTCAGCTTAAACGTGAGGCTTATTATTATAATGTGCAAATGTAGGTCTATGTCCATGATAGTACGACAACATTTGTGATATACTATCAATTAGTGTAGACATCTTAACATGTTCAAGGCAGCAATACATGAGACTATTATTGAAAGGAAAAACATGATAATGATTTATCCTCGATGCATTGGAATTAAAATGAAAATCAACATTATTATTGGTTTTGGATGGAACATGGAAGGTTAAAAGCGAAAATAAACCAAGTCCAATTATTTACGAAGTGTAATTCACCTCAGTCATCTGAAATTCTAGCACATGAATTTTTTTTAGGGATGAAGTATTATGGAGTACTTTGTATTAGTTCGTACAATGTATAACAATGGCCTTTCTTCCTCCAAAAAAAAAATAATAATCAAATTTATTTTTTCTCATTATTTTGAATAAAAAATTTAAAATTAAAATATTTTGGGTTTGAGAAATGAGAAGACTGGGAAATGTATCCGTTACAGCATTAATAGTCCATTTATAAATCTAAAAATAAAAATAAAATTGAAAATGAAAATAAGTAAAACCAGAAATAGAAGCGGAAAACCGGATCTCACAGGACTCACACATACCCCCCCTTCCACTAAAGCACTGTTTACCGGATATCCTTCAATTTATCCTAACCCTGGTTCATTCTAACTTAACTCTAGTTAATCAACGCTCCATAATTCCAACCACGTGTCCATTTTCAACGGCTTAGATCAACCCACGATCAAAATCCCTAACTTGCCCTGCTAAAACCCCTCTATATAAACCCCCTTCTCTCCCCTCCACCCCACCATCTTCCACCACAACAAACCCTAAGTCAATCAAAAAAATCATCAAAACCCCAAATTAATCGATTTCTCAAAACCCTAGAAAATGTCGAACCCAAAGGTCTTCTTCGACATGACAGTTGGCGGCGAACCCGTCGGAAGAATCGTGATGGAGCTTTTCGCCGACGTCGTTCCCCAAACCGCCGAGAATTTCCGTGCTCTTTGCACCGGCGAGAAGGGCGTCGGCCGTAAAGGCAAGCCACTCCACTACAAGGGCTCCGGATTCCACCGTGTGATCCCAAAATTCATGTGTCAAGGTGGTGATTTCACCGCCGGAAATGGCACCGGAGGTGAGTCAATCTACGGTGAGAAATTCGCCGATGAAAACTTCAAGTTGAAGCACACTGGTCCCGGAATCCTTTCCATGGCTAACGCTGGTCCCAACACCAACGGGTCACAGTTCTTCATCTGCACTGAGAAGACCGAGTGGCTCGATGGCAAGCACTGTGTGTTCGGTAAGGTGATTGAAGGTATGGATGTTGTTAGAACCATCGAGAAGGTTGGATCTGGAAGTGGAAAGTGTGCTAAGCCTGTTGTTATTGCTGATTGTGGTCAACTTTGAGGAGATTTGATCGTATCATCATCATCTTCACCTTTAACTATCGTTTGGTCTGATCTTAGATGTTAGATCTGATCTTCGTCTATCTATCTGTCTAATCTGTTAGTGAAATAATATGGGTTGTTTTTTTTAGGGTTTTAGGAGAAGGAAAGTTTGAGAGAAGAGGAGAGATATTGTGATTTTTATTCAGTTTTTTTTATTCTGTGTTTTTCGTTTGTGTTATGGTGTTGTTTGATGATGATCATGTTTCTCTTCTTAGGGCATTTGGGTTAATAATGAAAATTATCTAGTTTAATCTTCATTTCTCTACTTTCACTTTTTTTCATATCATTATTTCTTACCCTGTAATAACTTGTGATCAATTCTCGTCTATTTTATTCGTGTTCGAGTTGTGATCAAATTTCGTCTATTATTGGGTTTTAAAATGTGATCCATTGATCAATCCTTAATGAAAATGCAAAAATAAGAAAAATGGTGGCATAAAAAAAATCAAGGGAGTGAAAGAGGATCTAACGGTTGGAAATGGAGGAAGAAGACAAAAAATGGGAGGAGAGAGAAAGTACGGAAAATATGACCAGTAATGAAAGAGTAGCAGAGGGGGTGTGGTGTAGGAAATTTGGATGAGGATTTTTATGGGTGGGTCACGTGACTGTCTTATGATTCGACACGTATTATTTAAAATGAATAAAATATAATATCTGTGAAACGCGGTACTATTTGGCTGTTTCTGGAATGATCTATTTCTTGGGCTTGGTAGTTGGGCTGTTTACATCACTTGAATAGTCCAAAGAGTATAAGAGTATAACACTAACCAATGTATTTTGAGGTTTTGTATAATGATGGTAAATGTAGTTGGTAGTCCAACTGCTCAAGAGGTTATTAAGAATTTACTACGGAGTACTAATTACAATTGATGTATAAATTGCTCAAGGAGGTTATTGAGAATTTACTAATTACGAATGATGCAAGTAAATTTATGAAGAATTGAAATTTGTTTGACCATTAAATCACTTTTTACACGAAAGAGGATGTTGAGCGGTTGAAATGGTTACCTTTAATACAATTTCATTGATGATAAATTGAAAATTGTATACTTAGGCCCCGTTCTCTTTACCTTTAATTTTGCTGAACTAAAATTATTTTTACTAAACTGAAATTATTTTTACTAAACTGAAATTATTTTTACTGATTTTTTATTATAATTTTTGTTTAAGAAAACTGAATTTTATTAAACTGTACTTATTGAAGTAAAATGAAAATTGTTGGATATTGTATACATTTTGCAATCTTTTTGCTTTTTCGCTTGATAAACTCTACACTAGATTGATATATAAATCGTGGTAGCAATTTTCATATTTATGAAGGTATGGGTTAAATTCTTAAATACGTGGAAAAACTTTTGTATACATCTGGTTTATACTAATATTAGCATACATCGAGCAGTATAAAATATAACTTTTAGCTAGTTTTAAGGTAACTTTTTGTCATTTTTGGGGTAATTTTAAACATAATACAATATTTATATAAATAGACAACAAGAAAAGTTTTATAAAGGTAATTTAATTACATTCAATCACTAATAATTGATTTTTAGTCATTTAAAATGTGATTCTTTACTAATAAAGCGTAGATAATTTTAATTTGTATTGAGTTATTTTTATGCCTATTGGGGTAACTTTTATTCATTTTAGAGGTAATTTTTTATCACTTTAGGCTATCTTTTATAATGGATGTACAATAATTATTGTACACCCGATTTTTTTAAATGTTTGTGAAATACTCCCTCCGTTTTTAAATATTTGCTCCACTTTCCATTTGCGGCCGTTTTTAAATACTTGCTCCATTTCCTTATTTGAAAAGTTTTTACAATATTTAATCAATTTATCTCACCCAGTGGTTCCAACATATGTTCTCTCTCCTCCAGTTCTCTTCACTACTTTTTATTTTTATAATTTTTTATTCTTCCACCAACCCCACTACCTCCATATTTTATTACTTCCTCTAATTTCTCTTAAAACTCCGCGCATAGTTAAAAACGAAGGGAGTACATGTTAGATTACATTAGTATTTTGGATTAGGTTAGTGTTGTTTTTAAAGTGACATTGATATTACTCCCTCCGTTTTTAAATACTTGCTCAATTTCTCTATGTGCGGAGTTTTAGGAGAAGTTGGAGAAAGTTATAAAATATGGAGCTAGTGGGATTGGTGGAAGAATAAAGAATTGTAAAAAGCAAAAATAGTAAAAAAAATTGGAAGAGAGAGAAAATGAAATTAATAAAATATGATATTTGTTGGGTTCACTAGGTAAGAGAAATGAGTTAAATATTGTAAAACTTTCTAAATAAGTAAATGGAACAAGTATATAAAAACGATCAAAAAAGTAAAATGAAGCAAGTATTTAAAAACGGATGGAGTAAAAGATATTATGACATTAACTATTGCATCAATTTACAACTAGTACGTGGAAAATTCAGTAGATCATCCAAGCTCAATCCCTCACTTCTTCCTCCATATCTAATCTTAGTCATTTCCCTTAAAGTTTATCTAATTTAAACAACTTGTCTAGTGAAGTGAAAACTATGTATACTATAGATAAGATTGAGGTATTTAAAAAAAAAAGGGCAAAATGAGGAACTCGTTCTTTTAAGAGATGTTGATACTTGATTCATGAAACACGGATATTAGTGCCAAATAAAAATTGACAACCACAGCTTTAGCATTTGGCATATCTATTGGTGGAAACTTTTAGTCAAAAAGATTTTTAAAAAAAGCTTTATTCCTTTCCCTTTTGTAAAAAAAAAAAATGAAAATGAAAATAAATAAATAAATAAATAAATAAATAAAGCACTGGTAGCAAAATGGCCACTTACATATTGATTATTTTCCTAAAAAGAAAAATGAAATCCTTATACGGAGTAATTCATAATTGGCATCTAGGAGAGAGTACTAAACACTGCTAACAAAAAAAGAAGTGTTTTTCTTCGACATATAAGATGCTAAAGTGGATTTAGCTTGATTTAAAGTCAAAAACGAACATTTTCTCCATTGGTTAGCTTGATCCAATATTATAAACAAAAAAATGTAAAAACAACCTTTTAAAAGCAATCACTTTATTAGAAACAACCATATAATTTTTTTTAATTTTATTTATTTATTTATTTGTTACTTCATACCTCATTACAATTTTTTATTTTTCGTCAAAGACAACCTAAACCTAATTTCCGGCGTTGACCTTTTAATTTTCGGCATTGATGACTTCTTATTTTCCTAAATGTACTCCTCTTCCCTCCAAATCACTCACATAAAACTTTTGTTCTCTAATTCCCTCAATTTGGAGACAAAAACTAGTGTTAGTCTTCAAAATTGAGGAATTACATGGTTGAAGACTTTAAATTGTAGAAGCAATTAGTTTTATTAATCCTCGACATTTTGTTGAAGACAAAGGATGAAATTGAGGAAATGAGAGTACATGACTTTTTAAGTAGGAATTTGGAGGGGAAACAGGTGCATTTAGCAAGAGTAAGGATCACAACAAGAAGAAGAAAAAAAAAAGGGGGGGGGACATGACAAGTACACTAAAGTCAATGTCAGAAATCAGAAAGTCAACGCCGGAAAGTAGGAGGTTATCTTTGACAAATAAATTTTGTAATCAGACTGAAGTAACAAAAAAATAAAATTATAAGGTTATTTTTGATAATATTTCCTATTATAAAATGTTGTTTGATATTACTCTGTACTTCGCATTACAAAGTAGACTATATTTAATTTCTAAGGACGAAAATTATAAAGTAATCAATACAATCATTCACTTTGTCTCAAACTATAATTTATTATTAAAGCAAACTACAAAATATTACATAAATTGTGTGAACAAAATCGTATAGAAAATTATTATATCTAATAATTGAAACACCTTACAGTTAACAGTGACATAGCTAACCTAGGAGTGTACCAAGAAGTGTATTATTTAATGTTTTGGGCTTGATTATTTGGGCAATGACATATGCATAGAAAATTAGAAATATTGTAAAGCATTCCCCATTTATGCTGAAATTGAGGCATTGACTTAATGACTATAGTTTTCTACTCTACTATGGACTTATAGAGTTGGTTTTAACTTTTAGGGCCTGTTCACATTTACTGAACTGAACTGAACTAATTGGAGCTGATCTAAACTGATTGGAGCTGAACTTAACTGAACTGTGCTGAAATGAATATTTTATGAGAGAGGGAAATTAAAAGCTGAACTGAATTGAACTGATTGAAACTTAACTGAATTGAATTTAAGTAAATGTGAACAAGCCCTTAAGCTATTCTATGTTAATGAGGTACTTAGAACCCAAGCAAATAAATAAAAATTACTTCCTATGATAATTTGACAAAGCCACTTCTATAAGTCTCTTCATTTAAGATTTTACTTATCATTTTATGTAAACGGGACACACACCCAAAAAAAAAAAAAAAAAAAAAATAATAATAATAATAAAAATTGTGTAATTATTGCAACAAATTATATATAAACCTTTCATATCTTATACTTCGTACTTCGTAAATAAGAAAAAAAAAATCTTTAGATATCAAATTAAATATGAAAAGAATCTTTAAGATATCTAACCAATATTTAACTTTAGGAAACTAAATTCCATCCTTTGCACATTTGGAAAAACATTCTCAATTCACAGCTGGATTTTAATTACTTCCTATAATATTTTAATCAACAAGTCATAAAATTTGTTTCTTATTTATGGTAATATTATCTAATATGATTGGAACACATGCACATTGAACTAAGTTTTTTTTTTTTTTTTTTTTTTTTTTTTTTGTGTATTTTTTTTCTGCCTGCAGATATCAACAAGCAAAATGAGGCGCAACAACACCGACGTACACCTAATCACTTTAACGAAAATTTGCCGGAAAGAAAATTACAAAATAAATGACATAATGAATTTTTGTAATTTTGATGTCATCTTTGAGAAACTACCATTGGAGATTTGAAGTTTAAAGAATAAAACACAAACAATTTCATAACATCTTCTCTTACATACTTAAGAATCATATTCTTGATTAACAAGGGACTACAAAAGAAAATACCTCAAAGACAATGTCAAGTCTACTTACTCATTACAAGATAGAATGACGTTTACAAAATTGGGATGATGCCACAAAAATTAATCAACACTAAATACCAAACCTAATAATAAAACGCATCATCTCCCAATCACCACCAAGTTACATATACGGATCAAATAGCTACTGTTTCGGGTGAAAACAATGGGACCTTGCCGAAGGTCCAATGAAGAGGATGAAGACTAATCCGGTCCAAATGATGCTGGGCCGAAGGTTTCCTGCACAACAAACACACGTAAACTGGTCTCGGGGGTGGATCCGAGGAAGACCCCTCCGATGCCGAAGTCAAACAGTGTTTTGAGAGATAAAGCTATGCAAAAGATTTAATGCTTGAGGCTTTTAATGTGTATCCATGATAAATGACTCGGCTTTTATACCTTAGCATGACAAAGGGAAGAGGATTGTTGGGCCGCAAACAGCCATGGGCTGACCATAACAATTTGGTCCACTTGACTTATGCTGACTTGGCTTAGATGGAGGATTGGGCCTTGACCTTGGAATATTGGATCATTTAATGACTAGACCCAATTGACTTAATTGGACCCAAACATCTTCTACTACTAATTATCTAACTCGAGAAATTAAGCCCTTTAAACTAACGATTCAAGAATAAATCAGCAATCAATTAAATCAAAATTAATATCATCAAAATCAAAATCAAAATCTATATCAAAGGGTACTTGACCTTGACCTTGACCTTGAAATTGACTGTGATCACCACCATATTAAACTTGTTCTGGTATCTGATTAAGAAGATCCTCAAAACTCCATTCCAAAGAACTTGCATCATCACTCAACATTACTCCATCAGAATCATCTCCAAGCATTAATCCAGTGCAATCACCCACATCAATATCGCGATAATCGCCCATCGTACATCATCACCAACTCTAATTTAAGCCTCTGATCTTCAAGATACTTACCCTGATCATCATTAACAGGATACCCACATTGATAGTAATTAGACATAACTAATAATTGATTCATCATCATCATATTTTGGTCTAACCCTAAACCCTCACCATAAGATTGCACCTCTTCAAACATACTATAATTAGTAGGTAAAATTTGACCGTTATTGTTTTTCATCATACTAATTCTAGCAGACTAGCATTAACAGCTTCAATCTTTTCTTCAATTGAAGAATACAAACCCATTAATTCTTTTGCCGAGAAATTGTCAATATTGTACATAGGAACTTCAGCCGTGACCAAATTATCTTCTTTTTTATCGTTACCATTACTACCAATGTTACGAAAACGCGACGTGTACATATTAGTAGCCCTTTTTCGACGTTCCTCGTTACTTGTCTTTTGGTACCTTGTAACAATGTTGTGCAACACTTCGGGTTCCTTAGGCCAAATCGAAGGCGAGGCATCTTCCGGGCCAAAAATAATTACACCAACATCGACTTCACATAGGGTTGAAAGCTCGAATGCCTTCTTCAAGATCCCATCTTTCCTTTGCTTGAACACTTTTTTTATCTTTGATTTTCTTTGACGACCCATGTTTAGATAATTACTTGTCTGAAACTCTAACATTTAATTTTATAGAAAACAAATGAGTATTTTGATTTGACCGACTATGTTAAGTATGTTCTTGGTTATGCTTATTACCCAAGGAGAGCCTAAAATATTTTACAGTTTGATACATACGTGATTAATGAACTAATATCACTAGGTTATGTTGTTTGATATTATTTGTTATTACTAAGAGGAAGTTAGTGATTGTTTTTCTTAAAATGGATTATAAATACTACTTCGTACATAGTTATTTTTTAATCATTGTGTATTTTCGACAATTAATTAATAGTTACTTCATACTATACTACAGAGTAAAATAGACCTGTGCTTATGCACATGATCGATATACAGAGTACTCATTGCAATGAAAAATAATTTAGATATTGGAGTTTATAAATAAAATGATTGAAAAAGTGAATGAAATACGTCTTATTTTAAATTTTATTTTGACAATGAATGTGAATAAAATTTGATGGTGTAGAATTGCAAGGATGGACGGGTTTTTGAAACTTTATGGTTATTTGATTTTCTTATATTATGGTTAGTTGTAAAAAGGGTGTTGTAAATAAATGAAAACGGAGTACTTTCCATGAATATGTCAACCAAACAACTCCAAACAATTTCAATTCCTAAGAATTTTAAATTTCCATGTTTTTATTTGTCAACCAAACAACACCTTAACCTATACAAGATCTGATGTCAACAATCAGTTCAATAATTACATCCAATTTGACCTATAGATGGATGCTTGAAAATGAAAAAATAACTCCAAAGTTTCATAAATATTTCCATCATTTCTAACTTCAATCGCCCTCTCCCACAATAACGTAGCCTAACTAAGTTTTGTCCCACAACATACCTACTTGGGCAGAACCACAATCAAACCGTAGTTCATTGCTCGTTTTTGTCGCATTGAGCTATTGGCTCGAGTAGTGCACTAGCTAGTAGGCACCATCTACAAGGGCACAAGACTGCACAAGGGTGTAACTCATCACTTTAAACTTTGGAGAGTTAAAAAAAAATACATCAACATGTAAATATGTACTAGTAATAAATCTCACCCATAAACCATAATCATAATCGTGTCCTATTTAAAGTCACAAATATGAACCAACAAATATTTTTTAAAAAAGGTCAGAAACATAAATATGATAATTCAATCAATCTTCAGAAGCCAAACGTTCACCTCAAATCCCATCTAAATGGCTAACCGTCTAAAACCAATTTGCGCGGGTCCTTCAATTTCATCAGTATCTAATTTAGTACCCACATTTTCTCTCTCCAATTCCAGAATTTTCCCCTCCAAATTGAATGCTGGACTTTTGAAGAGCAACAACAAGAACAGAACAAATCGTCGCTTAATTCTGGGATTTGGGGTTGTTTGTTCATCTTGGTCTCAATTTATGAGCATGTTTGGCCTTCAAAAGGGGAATTCTTTCTTGGCTTCTGCTAGGGAGAAGAGTGCTGTTGAGGAGGTACAAATTTCTGTAATTCTGCTTCTGGGTTTTAGTATTTATGTCATTTATGTTCATGGGTTTATGCTAATTTTGATAATTCATGCTAATATTCGACCTAATTCATAATTTGGCTTTTTTTTTTTTTTTTTTTTTTTTATAATGTTATTTATTGTTCTGTGTTGATTTTGATTATGGTGTAAAGGGACCTTGAATGGGTAATTAGCTAGTGATATAGACCGGATTCGATTTCAATCATTTCATTTCTAAGATTTAACGAATTAAGTTAGTTGACATCCACTCGTGTATAGTGTTGATGATTATTTAGCATTATTGTGCAATAGTGTAGTGTTATTGTAATTGTTGGATCACATATATTGGAGTTAGCAGAATTCTAATCCCTTCTTTGTAAAATGATATGGGAGAAGTCAGAAAAAGTCTGGCTTAACCTCTCTAAACCTTGTTATATATGGTCCTTTGTGGAAATTTGTTAATGCTACCAACTTATTAGGCAATTAACATGATTACTCCAGACAATGTCGTTTTATCAATTAACATTATTTTAGAACGTTTTTGATGTCGAAGAGCCTAATGCCTTGTATATTTAAGCTTATGAATAATGGTGATGTCCAGATTAAATTTTTGGGCAGAAACATGTTATAAGGAACTCTTGTTTGTTGGTTTAGTGAATTTGTTCTATTTAAATCATGCAGGTTTTGAACAATGTTGAATGGCCGGAGCAGTTTCCATTTAAGGAGGAAGATTTCCAACGCTATGATGAGTAAGGTTTTACAGAATTTCTCTGCTTCAAGTAGTTATCTGAAATTGTACTCGTATAGTCGTATTTATTAGTTACTTTATTTAATTCTTCTAGTAATTATGTACTCCTTAACATTGACGGAGTTCTATATAGAGTGATGTGAGAAAAGTTATATTTAACGGTTTGTGATTAGATCTCCACGACTGCTTAGCTTTGGTGATGGAAGATGATAGAAATTGTCCGACCTTTTTTTTTTTTTGGGTCTCTTCTGTATATCATGTCAAATACTTGACGCTAAGAGTTTGGGACATTGTGTGTTTGATATCTAAACCCCTGAAATAAGTGCTTTATTGACTTGATGCAATCTCCAGCAACTTTCTCATACTCTAGATGCATGGTAACTTAGGTTATAAACTTGTCACATAGATGGACATAATAACGGTGTTATAATCTGCAGAATTGATATATTCACATTGATACATAGTTTTTTGCATCTAAATATGACTTTTATATTTTCGATGCGGAGAAGTGAGTTTTGGCATAATATATTTATACGGTTGTACCGATGGAGCTTGTTATCTAGGTGTTTTAATGTAGTGAGCATGCTGCATGTACAATGGAGTTATTAAGTTTTATTTTTATCATTGAAAATGTTGATAAGAAAGCGATAGAGGTTTTATCTGACTACTTATGAACCTGAATGTGGTGTTGTGATTAATGCAGCAATTTGATATTGCAGCAACACCAACCTTTCTTGAACTCATCTTTTCTACTCATGACAAATGTTATAGCTCTTTTGTTTTAACAGAAATCTAGATTACGTTATACGACTTCTTCCTCTGTATTTTTTTTTTTTCCATTCACGAGTAGAATTTAGACACATTTGTTTTGATGCAATTAATATAATTACTTGTGTTTGTTATGTTATCTCTCACATTATCATATTCTGATTTGTAAAGGATACATGATTCCATAGTGTTATGTCTGGCCATATGTTTCATGTTTTCGATGAATAACCACCACTTGCCATTAGACCCTATAATCCTACCAGCATTAGAATTCCATGTGTAAATCTGCTGCTGTATAACCTGTATTAACTAGTGGCATCAAGCTTGAGATTGTGTGTAAACCTAAATGTGACTTTGATGATTTTTGCACCAGCTGTGTAGTATTTCATGAGCCTCTAGAACCTATGGTCTCGTAATTTTTCTTACCAAATTTTGCTTCCTCATTGGATTACAGTACATGTATTTTGCAGGTCAAATGATACATTGTTCTATGATACACCACGTTTTGTAACTCACATCGATGATTATGCTATTGCTGCACTCACTAAATATTACTCAGAGGTTTTCCCTCCCAGTAATACTCCAGGGGTCAGCATGCTGGATATGTGTAGTAGCTGGGTGAGTAATCCAATTCAAATCATTTTGTTACCTCAACAAATATTTAATGAGCATATATGTATTTTCATGCATTTCAATTTTCTCTAGGTTAGCCATTTTCCAAAAGGGTACAAGCAAGAGAGGATGGTGGGAATGGGCTTGAATGAAGAAGAGCTCAAGCGGAATCCAGTAAGATCTGTTTCCTACTTTTCTAATGTGTAGCAACTGTATTTCTCTTTTGATTTATATCAAACATTCTTCAGAAAAATAAAAGGGTACCCTGTACTTTTATCTTAGGCAATGTTAGGATTTTGGGAAGCTTAATTGCTAATTTGTTTCCTTTTTTTTTTTTTCTTTTTTTTCCCAAAAAGTTAAGATTAAAATAAAGTTGGAGTTATTGCTGAATTAAGTTATATCACAAGGTCGGGTTAGGATGCATTTTAGGATGTTGAAACTTGAAAGTAAATTAGGTCTTCTCTTTTTGCTCTAGTCCTGTTATGTCTTTTCTTTTTTATTATCCTAGTTCTAACTCTATTGTCTCCTGCTAAGTACCAATTTTGACTTTGTATCCTACAAAGGCCTTTCAATCTTCAAAGGTTGATAATCATGATACAGAGTTACATACCGAGGTCCAATAAGTTGTTGCAAATTACAAAGTTAGATTGACAAGGGGTTGGGAAGCAAAGAGAAACAAATCGAATTTGTATTATCTGCTTTTGAAAGGAATTATCATTATTTCAATCAAATTTCAATTTATTTACTGAAAAATCTCTAAGACAAATTCTGATAATCATGCTTTCTCTGATCCTCTGGTTTTCTTCAAGATGAATATTAGTTTGATCCCCAGCAAGTGTAACAAGTTGCTTTTTGCAGGTCCTGACAGAATATATTGTGCAAGACTTGAATGTTAATCCAAAGCTTCCGTTCGAAGATAACTCTTTTGACGTTATCACTAATGTGGTATGCACATCTGTCACTTTGATGCCATGAGCCATGTCCTTTACGTTCATAATCCTTACCCCTACTAGCAGATCGTATGTAAAAAGTAAAACCGTTATATGGAAAGTGAGTTGAACTTTTCAGGAACGACGATAATATGTTTGCTTATATTTAAAACATCATTACTGAACATAATGGCCTATTTTGATCCTTAAAAAAGTGTGGACTAGATGCAAGTTTTATGGCTTACGTAACACTATGTATATTATACTTAAGTTATCTCTTAATAATAATGTGCAGGTAAGCGTAGATTATCTGACAAAACCACTTGAGGTATTCAAGGAAATGCAACGAATTCTTAAGCCTGGTGGTTTGGCTATAATGAGGTGATATGTTAATGCCCCTTTCATGTTATAGACGTTGAATTTGTCTGTTTATGTGCATGCTATGAGAAACTACCTGCTAACAGCAGCCTTATGGAACACTAGATTCATTTAAGAAGCTTCAAACATATTTAATAGCTATAGTCTTTATCTTCTTCAATTTAGATTATAGCATTTCTTACAGCCAAAGAAATTGTTTCTTGTTGTCATGATATTTTAGAAAAGGATGATGCTCTTTTCTCTGTTGTCATGATATTATTATGTAGATATATTTTGTATCTGAGCCAATGAAAGATTTACAATATATTCTGACTTTTTTGGCTTTTTTTATTGTTGAAGATGAGCAATGCAAATCTCTGCCACAGTTTTATATTTCCCTTCCAAATCTGAACTGTCAAATCTTACTTCTGCTGTCTCTCTACCCCACCTTAGTTTTATTTTGTGTACTTGTCTGTAATCATAAGTTGTGTGACACACAGCTTTTCTAATCGATGCTTTTGGACAAAAGCAATCTCAATATGGACATCGACGAGTGATGCTGATCATGTTATGATTGTTGGAGCGTATTTCCATTATGCTGGAGGGTTTGAACCTCCAAAGGTAAATTCTGATTTTACTGTATATTTTTCTCTTCCTAGTGTCATTTCTTGTATGTTTCAATTTTCATGCACATACTGTTTGGTCCTTTATCCCAAATTTCTGCTATTTTTGATGGGATAATGTGTGTGTGTGTGTGTGTGTGTGTGTTTTTAAATATTTTTATTTTGGGAAAGATGATGGGATAGTTTAATAGTGCTTAACTTGGTTTAAAAGATAAAGATCTCAAACATTACATAGAATCTATACATACATGTATGTATATTTTGTGGCTTCATAGAATGCCTGAAAGGCTGAAAGTGAGAAGTTAAGTTTCTAATTGGACAAACCTTACTTGGACTGCAAGCTTAGGTCGCATTCAAGAATGTGCAAGTTTCAGATATAAATTTACCTTCAAAGTAACATTTGTCAGAATTTGAAGCTATAAGCTATATTATACTTGAAAAAGTACATATTTATAGCTTAATCAGCCTTAAAGAAACAGAATTCTAATTTTATCATGCTGATGTGACATAATGCCAACTTTCTTTGCTCATAATTTCTTCTTCAAGTAGTTAGCACTTAATCCAGATTCTGCAGAAATATCCAACTTTACAGTTAATTGAACCAAAGTCTCCGGTATATTGTGGTGAGCAACTAGTTTAGAGGGGGCACATATAAATAAGGAAAGCCAGTAATTAGGATTAGTATAAATTAATCAGTCAAAAGATATACCTCTGAACAAACAGCATTCAAAGCTTCAAAGAAAAGCATGACCTAAGCTTTATGTCAAGTGTGGCATTACCAGATTCTATAAATCCTCTTGCATTATAGAAAATCCCAAAGGTGGCCTTTTTCCCAAGTGTTTAACCCAAAAACAACTAAGTTGACAATGCCTTCAGGCACTTTGAATTTTCAGTTAGTTCTCCTATTTTTGACAATATATGCCTCATGGGCTTCAGGAGATTCAATCCAACAGAATTTCCTTGAATGCTTTAACGAGAACAGAATATCCAATGCCCCAGTTCCCCCAGCAAGTTATAGCCCAACAAACACATCATTCTCTATTGTCCTCCAATCCACAGCTCAAAATCTAAGGTATCTCCTGCCTTCTGTGAAAAAGCCTGAACTAATTATTATGCCAACTGATGAATCCCATGTCCAAGCTGCTGTTATATGTGCTAAAAAGCTTGGTCTTCAGCTAAGAGTTCGTAGTGGGGGCCATGACTACGAAGGGGGTTCATATGCATCTGAGATGGAAGAGCCATTTGTTATCCTTGATATGGCCAAACTTCGAATAGTAACAGTTGAGATCGAAGAGAATAGTGCATGGGTGCAGGTTGGTGCCACCATAGGTGAGCTCTACTACAGGATATCTGTGGAGAGCAAGGTCCATGGATTTCCTGCTGGGCTGTGCTCCAGCTTGGGTGTGGGAGGCCACATCACAGGAGGTGCCTATGGTCCAATGATGAGAAAGTATGGCCTTGGAGCCGACAATGCCATTGATGTTCGGATGGTCGATGCCAATGGTCAGATTCACGATCGTAAGTCCATGGGGGAGGATTTGTTTTGGGCCATTAGAGGAGGTGGGGGTGGGAATTTTGGGATCATCTTAGCTTGGAAGGTTCAGTTAGTACCAGTTCCGGAAAGGGTGACAGTTTTCACTGTTGCAAAAACCTTGGAGCAGGGCTTTACAAAGATCTTATCTAAATGGCAACAAATTGCTGATAAGATAGATGAAAATCTCTTCATCAGAGTCATAATGCAGAACTCCAAAACCCCAAAGGGTGACAAAACTGTGATGGGTTTGTTCCAGGCCTTGTTTCTTGGACAAGCTGATCAGCTGCTCAAGGTTATGCAACGTGACTTTCCCGAATTAGGCTTGCAAAAGAAAGATACCTCTGAAATTAGCTGGATAGAATCAGTTCTATATATTGCTAACTACCCCTCTGGCACAAAGCCTGAAATCCTACTTGAAGGTAAGCCAACGTTCACTAATTATTTCAAGGCAAAGTCGGACTTTGTTAGGGAACCTATCCCAGCAAGTGGACTTGAAGGTTTGTGGAAACAGCTTATGGAAGATGAGGGCTCCCTAATGATCTGGAATCCTTATGGTGGGATGATGAGTAAGATACCGGAGTCTCAAATCCCGTTTCCTCACAGAAATGGGACCATATGTATGATCCAGTATGTGGTAACATGGCAAGATGGGGAAAGTAGTAAAAGTAGGCATATGGAATGGGTTAGGAAGCTATATAACTATATGACACCTTATGTATCAATGCTCCCTAGGGAAGCATATGTGAACTATAAGGATCTTGACTTGGGTATGAATGAAGATGGCAATGCTAACTTTATAAAGGCAAGTGCATGGGGTAGCATGTACTATAAGGATAATTTCAACAGGCTAGTGAAGATTAAGACGAAATATGACCCTGAGAATTTCTTCAGGCATGAGCAGAGCATCCCACCTCTGCCGCTTATGGAGAGCAAAAAATTTATCCATAGGGATACATGTCATACATCTGATATTCAGATGTAATAGACTTGTTTAATCAGTATGTTGTTAAGCTACTAAGCTAGTTTTGTAACTTTTCCTTGCATAAACTTGTCAACATTCCACTATATTGTGTAAGATGCATATCATGTATAAAAATGAAATTTTATTTCATTGTATTGTTGTGTAATAACTTCAGGTATTATGAATTGACAAATTGTGACAAATAGGCTTGCATTTTAACCATCTTTAAGTACTTGTTGAATGAAAATTCTAATTTTCTTGATTTCTGTCTTTTGTCTTTACAAGTTTGCAAGTTTGTTGTCTTTAATTATGTTTCTACACTATTATTTGCAGGTTGTAGACATATCTCCCAACCCTGGTCGGTCAGATCCTATGTACGTTGTATATTCCAAGAAATCAACGGCAAGGGTAGCAATATGATGAGTCATACTAGTATAGCAAACCTTTGTTATATATATATATATATATATATATATATATATATATATATATATATATATATATATATATATATATATAGGGTTGTGATCCAACGAGAAGGATGAGAAGGAATCTCAACCATTCTATGAGCAATCCAGCAATTGATATTGAAACAAAAAAACACACTTCTCTACGTCATCTCTCTCACCATCTCTCTACTGATCAAATATCCTTAATTATAGAGCTTAGTTCCCACAAATTCACGCTACACTTCCATCTAATCACGAATGGCCGTCGTCCCCAATTTTTACTATATATTCGTTTTTTCTCTATCTTCTTCCCACATGTTTCATGATAGTTTTTTCCTTGCCTTCAATCCTTCTTTCCAGTAAAAGCAATATGATCATCTTCACCATTTAGATCATAGATTTTCATTATTTGAGGCTCCCCGCAACGATCGCATATGAATGTTGTTCCAAAACTAAGTAATGGAAATAGATCGAGGATGAGAGAGAAGATAAGCATTATGTTTTTAGGTGAATGAACGAGAAAACTAAGAAACTAAATTAAATCTAAAGAATAGGGCATGTTCACATTTACTGAACTGAGCTGAACTGGACTGATTGGAGTTGAACTGAACTGAAATGAATTGAGCTGAAATAAATATTTTATGAGAGAGGGAAATTAAGAGCTGAACTGAACTGAATTGAACTGATTGGAGCTGAACTGAACTGAACTGAAATTAAGTAAATGTGAACATGCCCTAATTTGGAATGTCTACTGGAATTGGTAATGTCGTGCATTCTCTGTCAAAATACCTGTGCTTAGGTGAATTAATAAGAGAAGTAAACAATATGCATATTTGGATGTAAAATTATGCACAATTTGTTAAAATTTTATGCACATCAAATATAAATCGAAAAATATATGCACATTCAGTACAAAACATATGCATATAAAATCATTCTCATCCTTCTCATTTTAACAAACTTCTCATTTACCCTATATATATATATATATATATATTCTCTTAACTTCAAAGAGTAACTCTTCAAGACTATCCATAATTGAATAATATAAGACTATCTTATACAAAATTTAGCTTGTTATTTTTAATTACTTGGAGAGCATAAGTGTGAATATAAAGAATTTAATAAGAAAGACAAATATGAGAAGTTTCTTGACAATAACTTGCCAGCCAATCCGGCTTTCTTGGTTTCATTAGAGAAAAACAGGCACGCATATCTCACTGAGCTTATTCATCACATAAAGTAGTACTTTGATGTGGCATTACCACATACAATAAATCCTGTTGCATTAAAGGTGGTCTTTACCCCCAAGTGTTAAACCCAAAAACAAACCAAAACAGAATATCAGTTCCCAGCAAGTTATATTGCACAACAAAGTGAACAAACACATCATTCTCCTACAAGTTGACTTTCTCTGATGTCAAAAAAGCATAACAGTAAAACCTTTAGAGATTGCTTCTTGCAATACCTGTCTACTCTCTGGAAGTGCAGGAATTACAAGCCTTGGCTTAGTTTCGACTTGTTCAGAATTCATTCTTTCAAGCTCTGAAGGGTCCTTCACCATCACCATTTAATTTCAAAATGTTTTCTGGCTTCAGCAGCAAAATTTGAAGCATTTTGTTGAAGAACTTCCAGCCCACTTTCCAAGCTTCTTCTGTATGATATATAAGGTTGTGTTTTCTTCAAGTATTTGTTAGGCTTGGCTGACTTCCGTACAATATAATCCCTCGCTTTCTTGTAAGCCTTAGTCATGGTATTAAGAGGGATTTCTTTGCAGAGTTTAGATTGCCCTGGTTCTTCCAGAAGCAGTTTATGCTGATTAGCTATAGCAGATGCTTCATCACTAAGCCTTAGATTTGCCATCACCATTAGAGCTTGATTGGCCTCAAGGTCAGTAGCCCACTCCAAATCCCATAACATCTTCTCAGCTAAGCCTTGTTCTACAAGATTCTGCAATGCTGTTAGCCTTGTTTGTAGCTTATTTGCATGTTGTTTCAAACCTCTGGATTTCTTTTTCACATCAACTACAATCTTGCCATATAGATCCAAGTCCCTCGAAAATTCTCTGAAATGCTTAGCCATAGTAGTTGGTAATTTGGAATCTAAAACCCTGAACTTTATTCTCATCTTCTTTGCCAGTCTCTTCATAGACTTAGCTTGGCCCTTTCCTCGGTCTCTTCTGAAATTCTTTCCAATTCGCAAATTTATCTGTCCAACAAAAGCAAAGAGTAAAAATTGGGAAATGCATACTATTAAATATAAGATCTTTTTAATACTTTATCCTATCTCACCATATTCCTTCTCATCTGCATTGACATTCTTCCTTTTCTTATTCTTCCTTTTCTTATTCTTGCTTGCTGTTGCTGCATAAATAATTGAGGATTAATTTTCATTATAAATCTCTTGAAATAGAAATAATGTTAATAAAACATCAGCAAAGGTTGTAAATAATGAAATATGTGATATGCCAATAACCACCACTATGATACACAATAGTAGTTCCACAAGTTCAAAGTTTGATTAGGGGAAGCGAAGGTATATAGGTCTCCTAATTATCAGCCTATAGTTTAGGTTATGAAAGAGTATGGGAATATTTTCCTTATTCACAAAAAGGAGCAACGTATAAATACATCATACAAGCCTTATCATAGGCTAAATTATAGGCTGATAGTTAGGAAACTAGTTGATTACAAGATATTCATACAATATATTTAACATTGATCAATAGGTAGATAGGAAAAAAAAAATCTTCTTTAAAGATACACTAGTATAATTATAAACCTATAGAAATATTCTCTAACTAATATCTTTAATAATACTGCGAGTATTCTCTTAATGATATCTACGAAAATTTTCCAATCTCATATCCCTGATAAAATACTTGAACTCAACCCAAACACATTTAACCTTTTATTATCAAACAAAAGTAAATAGTTTTCCAAGCATTAAACAATTAAGCCCAAGACATGTTTAGATTCAAAACCCATTAATTGTCTACTCCTATCAACCAGGAGAAACAATAAGCGAAATAAAATATGACAAAATCTACAAACCCCCAATTATTGAGCCCACCTAATATATGCTACGGAGTAATAGTCTAACACCATAAGTTAGTGATGGTAAAATTGGTAATTGGTAACACACGTTTCATTGGAATATTAATATTCTTACCTAGCAAATTACATCATCCAATCTTTTTTTTTTTGACAATATATCATCTAATCAAAGCTACAAAGTACAAACTTGTTAAGAATTGACAAAACTCGTACCTACAAACTACCCACTAAAATTGCTTGTTAAGATTTGACAAAACTTGTTAAGACATGTTTAGATTCAAAACCCATTAATTGTCTACTCCTATCAACCAGGAGAAACAATTAGCAAAATAAGATATGACAAAATCTACAAACCCCCAATTATTAACCCCACCTAAAAGTACAAACTTGTTAGGTACTGTACAAACTATCCACTAAAATTGCTTCAAAGACACAACACAAATACACGTGTAAGCACAATTTTCCTCGTTCAGACATTTCGTATCAGACAAATTTAACTCGGACCCACAATCACATAACACAGAACAAAATACAGAGTACAGTACAAAAATTCATAAATTAACCAGCAATTCAACATATAAACCCAAAAATTCATAAATTAACCAGCAATTCAACATTTCGCACCAATTTTTTCATCTCATCATAGCAGAAACACTAAATTTGCGTATAATTTTTTCATCTCCCATTTTTTTCATTCTCTCTCCACCGCAAATATATGAGTTTCTATCTGAAGAATTCGATCAAATCTTGAGATTTATCGCATAATTCATAATTGACATTTTCATTCCATTATAACAAAATTAAGTGTAATTACTATTATAGTTCATAAATTTTCATGAAATACAATAATAAACATAGGAATTCATTTCACAAAAAAAAAATAATAATTGTACGGGATAATGCCGATAGAAAGGTAAATAGGCCGAAAGTTAAAATCTTGCCTATGCCTATTCTGTTGAACTCAATAATCCTTAACGGCTCTCCCCTAGGCCACGTGGAGAGCTGCTCCCGGCCACGTTGGCACCTGCTACGTTTAAAGTCGGTTTGCCACCTAACGTCATAAGGTGGCACCTGCTTGGTTCCTTCCCTATATATTCCCAAGTTTATTCTTATATTAAGGTACAATCTTTTCTCTCTCTCTCTACATAATCACTTTCTCTCTCTTCATTTCCTCTTCTCCAGGTCACTAACTTTAGCATCGGAGCGGTTATTCCCGGATAACCCCCCGGGCTAGTTAATCTGTGTTGACTGTGCAGGTACAGAATTGGACGGTAAACCTTTACTGGCCCCGGAACATAACGACATCAGGATTTACCCGGAACAATTGGCGCTAGAAGGAGGGTATAGTAATAACTTCTATCGTCCAAAAAGACCTCCAGCAGTCATGGAAGGAGACAATGAAACTACGTTGATACCAGAAAGGGAAAACCGAAATTATGATAGCGGCGCCCCAAACACTACTATGCCCGAGATAGTAGTGGAGGATGAGACCCACCTATTGCATAAGGGCGCTATGAGCATACCACAGACGCCGGAAAGGATTCAAGCTACAACTCCTGATCCCTTAGGAGAATTCACCCCGGAAGAGCTGGAGATAACGGCTAGGGTTATGCAGGCAATGTAACGGAAGAGAAAAGAGGCCGAGATAGCGGCCACGAAACCCCGGGATAGGCAGACAAAGCCCGTAGCCATTAACCTTGAAGACCAGTTCCGACAAGTTGACCCGCAATGCACCCCACGACCACCACCCTTTGAAACAGTAGTACCGGCCACCGTGAGTAGGGGTGAATCTGAGTCATATCGGCAGGAGGCTAGCAGCGGGCCGTCGAGGCGAGTAATCCGCACTATAGTCCGACCAAGGACGTCACCCTTCACGCAGGAGGTTCTTGACCAGCAAATGGAAAAGATTAAAACGCCGTCATGCACGTATGACGGCAAGGGTGATCCAAAAAGGTACATTGCAGCATTTGAGAGCCATATGTTGTTGTACACCGACACTGACGCGGTATGGTGCAAAGTCTTTCCTACAACACTGATCGGAGCAGCGTCAGACTGGTTTACTAATTTGGAACCTGGATCCATAGATGGCTTTGATACTCTAGTCAAGTTATTCACGGGTCAATACATAAGCAATAGCGCGAGGCAGAGAACTTCAGGAGAGCTTATGTCCGTCAAGCAGAAAAGGGACGAGTCACTGAGGGACTTCGTTCGACGTTTCAATAATGAAGCCAACACCATACCTCGATTACAGCAGGAAATAGCCGTCATGGCCTTGATGAATGGTTTGGCTGACATCGATTTCAAGAAGTATATGGCACGGAAATCTTTTCCCAATCTCGGCGCAGCTTTTAACAAAGCGCATGACTACATAAAGAGCAAAGAACTTCTGAGAGCAGGAAGTCAAATAGCGTTAGCAGAGCCCTCTCGGAGGAACAATGCTCAATCATTGTCGGAGAGCTACGGGGGGGTCAACAGGCAAAATCAGCAAAAAACAAATAGACCGACTAGAGGTCTAGGACGATACAGTAATTATACTCAGCTGAATACACCCAGAGCAGCAATTTATTCTATAAACCAGCACAAGGAGGATTGGAGTCGGCCAGCACCAATGATAACAAAAGGCCGAGATGTGAAGAAGTACTGCATGTTTCACAAGGATGTCGGTCATTACACAGAAGAATGTATCCAACTCAAGGAGAACATCGAGGATCTTATTAGAAAAGGACATCTGTCCCAATACCGATCGCAAACAAGTACAAGCCGACAGGGATATCAACCGGTAAGACAGCCTGGATACCGCAAACCGGAAAATCCATCAGCGCAAGATGACGTCTACCGGCAAGACAACAGTAGGGTTTATCGACAGGGCTCTGCGCCCCCTGGACGAAAAATCACCATTGAGGTGATTACTGGAGGACCGGTGCACGGAGGATCGGTAAATGGTGCAAAGAAGAGTCTGTCGGAGTATAAGCACATAGTAAATGCTTTAGGAATAGATGAACGACCTCGGCCAAATAATATTCCTTCTGTGTCTTTCTCTGAAGCTGACGCCAAAGGCGTAGTCTTTCCTCACGATGACCCATTAGTGCTGATATTGTCGATAAGCGGGTGTGACGTCAAGCGTGTGCTTATAGATGGAGGTAGCTCAGCGAATATCCTATTCGCAAGGGCATTTGATGCAATGATGATAGGTCGGATATACCTTACACCGGTGTCATATCCGGTTATTGGCTTTAACAGTTCTACCGTTAGACATGAGGGTAGCATAGTTTTGCAAACCTGAGTCTGAGAAGGATCAGCGGCCCGAGATGTGATGACCGAGTTCTTAGTTGTCGATGTGCCGTCAGCATACAATGCCATCGTCGGCCGACCGTTAATTCATGACACACAAGCCATTGTCTCCACATATCACCCTACGATGGTATATGTCTCTAATGCCGGCAAGATAGAACGCATTAGAGGAAGTCAGACAATGGCACGGGAATGCTATGTAACAGCATTAAAACAGCCTGCCCGACAGGCTCCGAGAAATCAAGGTAACCAGAAAAGGGAACGGTCCCCGCCGGCCCATGATCTGGCAATGACAAATTTTGATACAAGGCCCATAACTGTCCCTAGACCATTGCCAGGAGGGGAAACTGTTGAAATAGAATTACAACCAGGGGTGCTAAACCGCACAGTAAAAATCGGATCTGATATGGATACCGAGATGCAATGCCACCTAGTGGAACTCCTAAGGGAGAATGCAGATGTTTTTGCATTCTCAGCCGACGAGATGCCCGGGATTAACCCATAAATAATGGTACACAAGCTAAACGTGGATAGACGAGCTAGGCCGGTAAGACAGAAGAAAAGGAACTTCTCTATCGAAAAAATCGAAGCAACACAAGCCGAAGTTAACAAGCTGCTAGCGGCAGGATTTATAAAACCGTGCACGTACCCTGAATAGTTGGCCAATGTCGTTATGGTGAAGAAGCCGTCAGGAAAGTGGAGGATGTGTGTAGATTTTACAGATTTAAATAAAGCTTGCCCAAAGGACTGTTATCCCCTACCGAGAATCGATCGCCTGGTTGACTCGACCTCGGGCCATGCGTTACTGAGTTTTTTGGATGCTTTTTCCGGATATCACCAAGTCAGTCTCTACCCGCCGGATCAGAACAAAGCGACATTCATCACCGATGCCGGAGTTTTTTGTTACAAGGAAATGCCTTTTGGGTTGCGAAATGCTGGAGCAACTTACCAGAAATTGGTGGACAAGGTTTTTGCGAACCAAAAGGGAAGAAATGTTGAAGTGTACGTGGATGACTCAATCGTAAAAAGCCGTTTAGCTACGGAGCATATAGCAGACTTGAGGGAAACCTTTGACACCCTACGACGATATCGAATGAAGTTAAACCCCGAAAAGTGCGTATTTGGCGTCAGGTCTGGAAAATTCTTAGGGTTCATGGTCAGTGAAAGGGGAATAGAGGCAAATCCCGATAAAATTGAAGCTATCCTAAGTCTCCCACAGCCTAAGTGCATTAAGGATATACAAAAGTTAACCGGTCGAATGGCAGCATTGACGAGGTTCATCAGCAAGTCGACCGATAAAGCATTACCGTTCTTTGTTATCCTCCGTCCAAATAAGACTTTTGTCTTGGGGAAAGAGCAAGTTAAGGCGCTGGAGGCCGTTAAAAACCATCTGCGATCACTGCCAACGATCGCTAGACCAGAAACAGGAGAGACGTTACAGCTTTACATCTCGGCTTCCCCGAAGACGGTAGCGGCTGTATTGTTGGTGGAACGACAGAAAACACAGAAGCCTATATACTTTGTTAGCCATGTGCTGAATGCCGCAGAACGAAGATACCCACTGATCGAAAAGACTGCGTATGCAGTGGTCATGGCGGCAAGAAAAATGCGACCCTATTTTGATGCACATACCATCGAAGTTTTGACGAATCAACCACTAAAGAAATCTAGTGAGATATTTCATGGCCATCTCACATTCAGGTACAATAGTTTTGCCAAATTACCAAGTGACATGAGAGGGCTCTCTCTCTCACTTTCTCTATTTTCTCTTACTCTCTCTCACATACCATCGAAGTTTTGACGAATCAACCACTAGAGAAATCTCTTCAGAAAATGGAGACTTCGGGTCGTCTGCTGAAATGGGCAGTTGAGCTGTCAGAATATGTGCTGATTTATAAACTTAGAGTGTCAATCAAGGCCCAAGCCTTATCGGACTTCATAGTTGAAACTTCCTACACCGAAGAAGAAGATGCAGTCGGCACATAGAAAGTATCAGTTGATGGTTCGTCGGCCTCAACTGGATCAGGGGCAGGTATCATCATGACGTCTCCACTTGGGGATGTATTTGAATACGCAATAAGGTTCAAGTTCAGGGCCTCTAATAATGAAGCCGAATATGAAGCGGCGCTGTAGGGGGTTCAGCTATGTATAGCAGCAGGGGTAAAGAAAATAGAGGTATTCACTGATTCGCAGTTAGTAGCCAGTCATTTTAGTGGCGAATATGAAGCCCGAGAACCAACGATGATAGCCTACTTGGCTCAGCTACAAAGTATAGTGACGGCCCTAGATCACTTCAAAATCAATCTAATACCCCGTGCTAAAAATACCCAGGCAGATGCATTAGCAAAACTGGCGAGTTCAAGCCTTAACGACTTAGAGCGCACGGTAATGATAGAAACCATGCATCAAAAAAGCATAGATAAAGGAATAATCAAAGAGGTGAATTGTGTAACAAGAAGCCGGGAATGGTATGATGACATTTTAGCTTACAAGTTACAGAACATACTTCCGACGGATATAAACGGTGCGCACAAGGTCAGAAAAGATTGTGTCTGGTTCGTTATGTTTCAAGGCATGTTATACGAAAGAGGTTTTTCCCTACCTTTACGAAGATGCCTAACGACATATGAATCTGAGAGGTTAATAGAAGAAATACACGAGGGCGATTGCGGAAATCACTCTGGCGGCCGATCAATGTCGTTAGAAGCAATGAAGAGGGGGTACTACTAGCCGACAATGAATGCAGACGCAATGGCCTATGCCAAAAAATGTGATAAGTGTCAGAAGTATGGCTCGACAATAAATCAACCCCCCAATGATTTAACACCTATCCTCGACCCTGTTCCATTTGCACAATGGGGAATGGATATTGTCGGCCCATTCACCTCGGCTACAGGAGGACGTAAGTTTCTGATAGTAGGAATAGACTACTTCACAAAGTGGATAGAAGCCGAGCCGTTAGCAAAAATAACGGCAAATGAAGTGAAGAAGTTTATCTGGAAAAACATCTTTACTAGGTTTGGATTGCCAAGGGCAATGGTTTTTGATCATGGTTCGCAGTTCGACTGCGCTCCTGTTAAAATTTTTTTAGCCATATACAAAGTAAAATTTGCCTATGCTTCAGTTTGTCATCCTCAGTCTAACGGTCAAGCTGAGGCCGCTAACAAACAAATTTTAAATGCTTTGAAAAAGAAAATAGAGGACGCCAAAGGCTTGTGGGCGGACCTTGTACCTGAAGTGCTATGGGCAAACAGAACGACGACAAAGGAAACAACTGGAGAATCACCCTATAACCTTGCATTCGGTTCCGAGGCGGTTATCCCTGCAGAAGTGCTGGACTCGAAATGTGGGGAGTCCAGCACTTCTGCAAGGAACAAAATGACCTACTGTTACGACAGCGGCTAGATTTTTTACCGGAGGTAAGGCTTATGGCCGAGATCAGGTCAGTAGCATACAAAGACCAAATGTGTAAGGCGTACAATAAGCGTGTCAACTATAGGCCGTTAGAAGATGGAGATCTCGTGCTGCGAAGGACAGCGGCAACCGGTAAAGGAAACGCTGACGGCAAACTCACTGCAAATTGGGAAGGGCCATATCAAGTATACGAAACTTTGAGACAAGGTTCTTACCGTCTTATGACACTCGAAGGAAGACCATTAAAAAATGTATGGAATGCGGCTGTGCTTAAAAAGTACTTTGTTTAAATGCTTCTACTCTTAGTTGTAATAATTGTAAGTTTTAGTATTTCAACATTATCTACTGTAATATGGTACATCACTGATGTCGGCCATCGAATATATATATATATATATATATATATATATATATATATATATATATATAATATTTTGCGGAACAACAAGGAACCACCTGTCTACTTTCGATATGTAAGTGTACGCAGACTAGCTACCTGTTACACTCATTCAAGTAACAGAATGGTTGGATAACTAAAGCACCTTGGGCGAGTTGAACAGATTGTCTGATCCACTTCCGCTACTCGGCCCATTTAAGGTCGCTAATTGTAAAAAGCTCTCACACGGTGGGAGGCTTAGTTAAATTCTCATAAAATTGGACAGTCTGATGACGGTACCAATTTCACCCGAGTTACCATGGCATCACGGTTAACTCGGCAAAAGTGGGGAAATACGGTTCATGAGGAATAGTGATAAAAACCATACAGTAAGCAGTGCTAAAGGCTTAAAAAGAAGCGAAACAGAACTTGTAAAAAATTATAGTTAATATATAGTAAATACTTGCCGACAGTAAAGAGAACTACAAATCAAAATCAGTAGTTCTCGTCCATAGCAAATATTGTTTAAAATTATCAAACATCAGAAAAAAAGATAATGTAAAGTTATTACAGAAATAAGATCAAATTGTTTTTCTGAACAAAAGTAAAGTCAGCAAAAGACAGCCAAAAGCACTTCAGACCCTATGATTTCTCGGCCTCCTTCTCCAAACCACCGTCATGAGGTGGGGTAGTAAAAACCATGTCATCAAATTGCTCATCAGGAAGGCCGCGAGGGTCAGCATTCTTTATCGAATCCAGGCTGGGGGGATCGGCAAAGTATGACTCCTCATAGCTGGTAGGGGAGAGATGTCGGTCGGAACCATAAGCATCTTCCACGACCTGCCATCTATCCTCATCCCACTCATCTGCCTTGCATACGCATCGGTGCGCAGCAACCCAGCCGCCAATATAGCGGTCAATTAGCTTGTGGCAGTAAAAGTCGGATTTAAGGAATTGATTAACTGCCCGCCGCTTGACAACAAGCAATTCTAAGCGAGCCAACTCAAGATCATTCTCGACCTTCTTTCTCAATTCCTCCTCGGCCTGTAACTTCTGCTCAAGATCACTGATACGAGACTTGAGCTGAGCCTGATCTTCCAGCTGCTGGGACAAAGCATCGTAATCGGCAACCTTGCCCTCCATTTGTTGGATTTTGCTCTCATAACCATCCACCTCGGCTTTATGAATCCTCTGCTTCTCAT